ACTTAGTGGGGACTGACAGAGGGATATTGGGGAAGGCTAATCCCCTTGTCGGTGGGCATCCTAAGGATGTTAAGGAGTGGATCTGAGATGACCACTCACGGATGGTTTGCCTAGTCTTGGAGAGCCAAGACGGTGATGCAAGTGGTATTGGACTACTAGTGTGGCAAAGGTGATTGGGCATGGCCTTAGCGTAACGGGCTGCTATGTCGGTGGTACCTTTGAGTGTCGGTCATGGGATCGGACACGTGGAGCGCTTGGACCAAGTGCAAATGTTGAGTGGCATGGATGCCATTCTCGGGGCTAGAAAGTCCCAAGTCCTGGATTGGACTTATGGAGGTTGTGAATGAGACTCCTCCAAGTGGTCAGAGGTGTGGTTAAGTGACTAAAGTAGAATGGAAAATTTAATCGCTTACACCTCGCTTATTGCTCGCTTCGTGCTCGTTCCTCGAGCACTTTGTTGGGAGTTCCACTCCCGCTCTTGACTTTTCAAGTCGGAGCTTTTGGTCCAAACGTGTTACGCTCGTTTGGCTCTCGCTTCAGCCACTACCACGTGGCACCCTTTCCGGCTCCACTTTGGGGCCTAGGGATTTTGTGTCTCACATAGACCTTCATCCGTAAGCTTGGCTACAGAAACCAGATTCTTCACTATCTTTGGAACATACCATGCATTCTTCAAGAGCAGAGATTTTCTTCCCAGTGGACCTCGCACATCCCCAGTTGCGCGAACAGGTAAAATGCTTCCATCTCCCACATGAATGCACTTCCCTTTTGCAGCATGCAACTGCACAAAGTTTGACCCGCTTTGCATCAGGTGTCTCTCTGAACCTGAATCGATGGTCAGTTTTTCAGAAACGTTTGGAACTGCTACCTCAGATGATGCTGCAAGTTCTTGTGTTTCCCCTTCCTGAGCATTTGCTGCGAGCCTTATGTTCATGCGCTGCAGCCAAGCTGCAACTGGGCAATCCTTGGAGTAGTGTCCTGGCATCCCACAGGTCCAGCATTCCTGTTTGTTCTTGCCCACAAAACAATCCCGAACTACTGCTTCTTTACCAGAATTCCCTGAATTCTACTGCTGCTGTGGATTTCCCCTAAACCTGCGACCTCTGCCTCGTCCTCCTCTTCCGCGGCCTCCTCTGCCTCGATGATTTCCAGCCCACATAGCTGAATCAGTCCCTGACTGATTGATTGATGCAGAAGCATTTGATGTAGAATGTGAGATCAAAACATGGGAAGGCCTCTGATCAAAGTCCACAATCAAACCTCTCGCAGCCAGCTCCGAGCGTAAAGTTTGCTCAGCTTGTTCAAAGTTGAGCGACATCATGCGAACGGTAGGGACGAAAGAACTAAAAGAAGAATCTTGCATGGCCTCGCAAAGTGCCAAAACTTTCTTGCTTTCGTTGAACGCTGCTAGACTGCCTTCAAGCTCCATCCACAGATCTTGCATCTTGGCGAGGAACTCTTCAAAGTTCTCGCCTGGATGAAAACGGGTCTCACGAATGCAAGTCTCGACCATGCTAATCTTGGAGAGGGAAAGAACAGCATACTTGTTGTGGAGATGAGCCCAGATCTCACAAGCACACTTATGACACAAACGCATCATAAGGGCATCTGCAAACTTAGAAAGAATCAATCCTTTTGCTCGAGATTCCTTCTTCTCCAGCGCAGCTTGTTCCCCTGGATCAAGCTGTTGTCAAGCTGCTGGAACAGAGGCACGAATTGCCTCTTCATCCACGACTTCTCCTTCCACTGAAGTGAAGCTCCCAATGCAGCAGGGGCTCACCATGTACAAGCATCTGCAGCGATTGTCGGTGGTGAAACGATTTCCTAGAGTTCTTCCATCTGCAGCACGCGCATCATTTTCTCGGACCGGGTGTTGAACCCTCTCCTCCCATCAAAGGCAGTGACTCCCTGAAGCAAGATCAATCCAACTTTGCTGCAGCTCATGATGTGAGGCACAAAAAAAGGAGAAGAAAGAGTTCAGAAACTAAGCTCTGATACCAAGAAAGAAAAACGGAGCAAGAACAATGAATTTCACTTCAACACACACCTTGATTCATATATGGCTGTATATATATACAACTTCAATCAAATCGGAAATCACCAGAGATCTGATCACGATTCGGACTGCTTGTCGTGTTCATCATTATTCCTACAACAAGACCGTTGCACAGGCGTCGGAGACCGTAACAAAGGTGATCTCGTTGGGTTGCAAGCCTTCAAGATCCATCTTTCAAAACAACGCGATGGCCTGCTGATTATGCCCGTTGTGCGAATACGCCGCAATCGTAACGTTCCAGGAAACCACATCTCTGCAAGGCATCTGATTCAAGACATCCACAGCTTGATCAACCAGTCCGTTCTGAGCATAGGCTGTGACCATTGAGTTCCAGGTCACGACATCCCTCTCAGGCACCTTTTCAAACAACACCCTTGCCTCACGTAAATGACCGTTTTGCGCATACTCTCTAACGATCGTCGTCTTTCTTCTCCGGCATCGCATCAAACACCATCCTCGCAAGTCCCAAATCGCCCTCCGAAGCGTGCGCAGCTACGATCGTGTTCCTGGCGATGAGATTCTGCTGAGGCATTCCGTCAAACAAAGCCTTTGCTCGAGCGGTGTCGCCATTTTGAGCATACGCGGAGATCATCAGCGACCACGAAACCAGATCTCTCCTCGGCATATCTTCGAACAATGTCTCGGCCTCGCGAAAACGCTTCGTGTGAGCGTAACCAGATATCATCACATTCCAACAGATCCTCAGCCTCTTCAAGACCACCAGTTCTTCTGTAGGCTTCCAGCATTGTCGTCCAGGAAACCACATTCTTGATCGGCATGTTGCCGAACAAAATCCTCGCTTGCAGCAACTGACCATTCTCTGTATATGCACGGATCATGATGTTCCAAGTGGACGCATTAGGCTGGTTAACACTATCAAACACGTCGCGAGCATCAGGCAAACTCCCGCATTTCCCGTACATCTGAACGAGCAGATTGCAGAGGACTGTGTTGTTTGTTTGCCAGGACGCATGGATCTCTCTGTGAAGTTGTTTCCCTCTGGCTAAGTCTCTGGTAAGAGCGCAGGATTTCAGCAGCGAGACGTACAGAGCTGGGCTGATGGTGGTTCTAGAAACGCACATCTCTGTCAACTGAATCATCGATCTTATACAGCGCTAGCCTACAGCTTCTATCTAAACTGGTTTTGCGACATCCATATCAACAATCCGGCTTGTTTCGTCGGTGCTCGTCTTCTTCTTCGGTTTCTTCATCTCATGTAGACGGACAAGTAGGCAATGCTGAGCAGCAAAGTGACGAGTGTAAAAGCAGCACCGACAACACTCACGCCTTGCAGAACAGTGCTGCAACCAGATTCTTCAAACCTTTCCACTTGGTAACTGCTGAGGCTGGCCGCCGTGTTCAAGAAGAGCTCAGCGATCACGAAAGAGATCCTGCCATTACCACAAAAGTTGATCTTTTAAATAAATGAATTTTTCTTTCTTGCTGAAAATACCAGGAAAGAGTGAGGAGGATAATTTCAGCGATCTTGCATCCGCGTCGATGAAGCGACGAAGAACAGCAAGTGCATTTTGTGGCGGCTGTGGCGGTGATTTAGCCGAGAGGCAAACACACGGCAGCTCCGATAGCTAAGCCGCTTGCTACCCCTCCTCTCTTGGGGATGCATCTGATTCTGGTGTGATCAGATGAAATCTCGTCTTGAATGGTTTCCTACAGCCAGAAAACGCGAATTCAAGGGCGAAGTGAAGGCGGCTTACATGATAACTTGTGGACGAAGAACCGACTGAAAGGCCGAACGCGAGGAGATCCAACGCTAATGTAAATGCAGCAGCGGGATAAAGAGATAACCTCATTGGAACTCTTGCAACTGGGAATGAATCAATTGAAGCAGAAGCAGAGTAAAGGGAGACATTGTCGGTGAAGTTAAGCAAAGTGAGTTAGTATTTAACATATAATTAACAAAATGTTTGCAAAAAACATATTCTATGAAAATAGTCAACTCTATGTTTTGTTACATTCCACTGAGGGGGAATTCTAATTGGTACATAATATTCTTTTCCATACAAAGAATATTCTGGTACACGGTAATTGTGTCAAGTTTAAGGATTTTATAAAAACATAATTATTATTTATTTTATATGTGTGTATATATATATATATATATATATATATATATAAAACACTAAATATAAACTACTAGCACTTGCCCAGCATGTGCTGTCCTATTAGCAAAATATTGTTTTGATTGTTATAATTTTGTTATATTAAAAATTAAAAGTAGAATAATATCAAAAAATAAATATTGTATTCTACTTTGAAAGAAGAATTGAGGGAATTATGCCCAGCAAATGTTAGGTGAACACAAAAGTCAATTCTTGTAAACTTGATATTATAAATATTTAGAACAAAATATATTCCTAGAGAAAAGTAAGAATAAATATTCATGGTGGGTGCCTTTAGCCATACTAGAGTCTGCATCTCAGACCGAAGTCCATTGAGAAACTAGTTCATACCTAAAACATCTGGAACAGAAGCCTCATGGGTACTTTCCCCGCCTTTCGCCTTTAGGTGCTCTAGCCATGGGCTTAGAGCGAAGTTCCGTTACCATGTGATCCAGGCCATTACCCCAGAACTTCAGCGCGATCACAAACCGGCATGATGGCAATGCGAAATACTAATAAAAATATTAGATACAATTATTATTTGGAAATATGAATATATTTAGACCCAGAAAAAAATAAAAATAAAAATTCTATTATTAATAATATGTTATATGTAAGTTATATTTTTATTTGGGATAAGCTTATATTAAGAGAATAATTACTAAGAATAATTATTACTCATTTTTATTAGCAAGACATTACTTAATTATGTGGTTTACCTAAAATATAAAACATTAAGTTTTTAGGAACATTACTCAGATCCAGTCAAGAAAATAATTACTAAAAAAATCTTTTGTAAATATATATACTATAGAAACTGTATCTTAGTATTCCCACCACCCAAGAGCCCCAGGGTGGTGGGACTGGGAAATGTACCTTGTCTTGCGGCTCACTGCACAATCGTTAAATTCCCACCTTGTTCTCAAAAATGTCTCTGCATTTTATTTGAAAGTATTCGCGAATCACAACAATTGATTGATCCAAAAGAAGTTTTACACAAAATCTCGAGACTTACCTGGCACTTGGTCTCTTCAGGTCGATTGTTACAAGTTTGCAAGCATGAAGGATCTGCAATGCATCGAGTGAGCTCCAATCTAGAGAAGAAAAAAAAAAAAAAACATCAAGCAAGCTCCTTGTTCAGTCTCCCAAAGCTTTCCTTTGCATCAGGCACGTCTCTCTCTCCTCGAGCGCCTCGAGCCCCGTGATCCTCTCCATCAGCTGCCAGTTACTTGCTTCTCCAGGCTTGCCTTTCGCTTCCAAACTCTGCCATCCTCTTCTCGACGTGCTCCTGGCCAAGAGCTCCACCTCGTGCAGCGGATTTGACTCCATCAGCCATTATCCCCTGGGGCTCCTGTCCGAACACTTCCCTCATTCCACCAGATGAGAGAGAACGTCTAGCATAGTCTGTCTTATAGTCTCCGCAGCCATCTGAAACCCCGGTCACAAGCAGCTTCAGCTATATTGTCTTCTCGCCATCTTGCAGCCATCTGGCACTGGTTTACGTCGTTCCTCACTACTATCATGGACAGCCTTACCGGATCCAACTTCTGGATTTGACTCTTGAGAGTTGGCTTCTCCGATGTTAGAGTCCGAGCACTGGCCTCCAGTTGACCAATCCTTGCAGCCAACTTCTCGAGCTAGGAGCCAGCTTCATTTCTCGTTTCTTCGACGTGCTTAGAACAGTTTGCTCGTGTTCTCTTCTCAGGTAAACCTAGGGTCTAGTCGTCTTAGAGTTCGCTCCAGCCCGGCCGATCATCTTCTTGCCATCATGGTTCCGACAAAACAAACACTCATCGTTCACTCCAGCTCTCTACAACAAACACGTTATTAGCTAACGGCCATCTGGAATCTGGAAGGTATATCAAACTTACCTGTCTCCTCTTGAATTCGGCAACAAAATCTCTCCCTGCACGATCATATAGTTCTTTTGCCTCCTTCACGAAGACCACCTCGCCGGACTGAAGCTCCTTCCACGGTTTCCTCTCACTCGAGATCCTATACAGCATTTTCTGGAGCCACATCATCTTCTGCGCTCGCTTGATCCTCTCTCGGTCGCTGGATTTGCCGTTGAGCTCCTCGTAAAGCTGCTCAGTGAATCTGATCAGAATCTGGAGCGCGCTAACACTCCAAGACTTTTCCTCGTGCTTCTCCTCTTCTGTTTCCTCGCGCTTTTCCTCTTCCAAGCTGCGGATCTTCTTCTCAGTTTTTCCCCTCTGGTTTAGCCACCGGTTTGCCTTGTGGAAAGCTTCGAGAGATGTGAACTCAACATATCCCCATTGGCCATCGCTAAGATCGGTTTCACTGCGATTTGGGAGAAGATCCGCCACACCTCTGAACATCCACAATCTGGACATACACATCAATGATTGGGATTTTTCCCAAGGCAAAGATCCTCCTCTCCATGGCGAGTGAGAGCAACGCAGTGTCCTGAAATACCATCCTCACGAGCTACATCCAATTCGGCCATCTTAGCCCCGCGATCGCGATCTTCCGCGCCATGCTGGATCCAAATCTAGTCTCCTGGACAGCAGTGATCACTGGCATTGCCCACAATCCCGGGTTGCATTGATCGGCACTGGATTTTCTCTGCGAGCTCTAGCAGGAGGGCTGGAATTCCAGCAAGATCTGTTACAGAACACATGCATATGACACGCGTCGCTGCGCCTTCCTCTCCTGCCCCACATGGCTTGGCTGCCTCCCATTGGCCAAGAGCAAACATCAGCGCGATAATTCACTAAGATGTGGTTAAAGAAATAACCCCTTTACAGTTACCCCTATCGGATGGCTGCGATTGGCTGGATTTGGTGGCCCAGAAATTTCGGCAACTCCTCCTTATTGTGATAGATAATCTATACATATAAAGTGATAGCAGGGAGGCTCCCCGACCGTTGGATCCCAGGCCTGGGCCAGGGTCAGTAGCCATGGTTGCGCAAGAAATTTTTCTGATATTTGCTCTCGGCCAATGGGAGGTGGCCAAGCTGCGTGGGGCGGGAGAAGAAGGCACAGCGACATGTGTCTTTCCTGCACAAATCGCCTCGTCACTCTCGATGTGGAGCGCCGCTGCTTTAGGGAAAGGGCAAGAGAGCGATGCGCTCGAGTAAATGGTCAGTGAAGCTGTGGCTCCTGGATCTCCCAGGCAGAGATCTTCCACTCAGAGATCTCCCGCTCAATTGCCACAGCAATCCCTGCAGGAACAGGCACCAGCAGCAGATCCGGAGCTACAGTCTCGCCACCGTCACTCCCGGCATGGAGGATCTCCACCGCTGCTTTAGGGAAAGGGCATAGCTCTAGAGGAGAGCGAGTAAATGGCCCAGTGGTCCACCCAGTGGCAGCAGTGGAGGGATGGACAAGGGGGGTGGTGCGATGACACTCGGTGGTTTTCAGCCTCCAAAAGACATGGTTTTTACGTCATCTGATCCCCATCGTAGGTATTCGTTCATTCTTTATGACTTTGTTAGAGTTGAAAGCTACAAACAACAGTAGCAAAGCATTAGTTTTCCTATCATCCTAGTTTTTTTCTTCTCCACAACAATGACAAAGAGACTATGTCTGAGTGGTGGTGGTGGTGGTGGTGGCACTCTCGCCACCACTCCTGTTAAGTCTGCTAAAGAGGGCAGCACTGAGAAACCCATCCTAGGAGGAGCCTTGCGACACTGATCTTGCAAACTTAGAGAACAATCCGGTGCTGTTCTCCGCGGAGCTGCTGTTAGTGCTAAGGTTGGGTGCTGGTGTGGAGCTCTGTCTTTTTTTCCAGTCCTTAATACAACTTGATGCTCAAAGGAATTTGTTGCACTTAAAGCCCGAAGTTTTTGATGGCAAGTAGGGCACCGTTCTGGACAGCAGAACGACATACACATACTTCCTTGGAGCTGCGTTTCAGGCTTTTAAAAGTGTAGTAAGTGCGAGAGAGCCACCACAGCTCCGGTGGTCATTGGCTCCAAGCGAGGCAAGACAGGCATGTGACATGTGTCACCAGTGGTGTCCTGCCCCTGTGCCCGTTCTTTTTAGCTCGCCCTAGATGCCCTGCCGCAATTGAACTAACACTTGCTTGGATCAGTGGCAATCGCAGCAATTGTGCTTTTTTCTGCAGAGGTCTGTGTTCAGCGTCAGGCCGGCAGCCACTAATTTGGCCCCCAACCCCAACAATCTGGATTTTTGTGTGCTGTGAAAATTTGAGACGTCTTCATTTGGGTTTGTGGATGCTATCCAGTGGCAGAGCTAGCCTTCACGGCCAAAACCATTAGCCCTGTCCTTTTGCGAGAGAGAACAAGCCCAAGGTAAGTTCTCTAACTTGCAAACTTCACCCACCTCTCACGGCTGCTCACCAAGGTTTTATTGGTTGCTTTTGTTTACAGATTAAGGTGTGTACAGATTGTGCTCTCATTGTATAGTCTTTTTTTTTTTTCCAGTGTAAGAATGTGAGTTCAGGCTTTTACTTAGAATCTCTGAAAATCTATACACATAAAGCGATAGCGGGGAGGCTCGCCAGCCATTGGATCCCAAGCCCAGGCCAGGGTCAGTAGCCATGGTTGCGCGAGAAATTTTTCTGATGTTTGCTCCCGGCCAATGGGAGGCGGCCAAGCCGCGTGGGGCGGGAGAAGAAGGCACACCAACACGTGTCACATGCAAGTGTCTTTCCTATCATCATCCAAACTTTTTTTGTTGAGATCTTTTAAATTTTCCTGCACAAATGTGGAGCGCCCCTGGTTTAGGGAAAGGGCAAGAGAGCGATGAGGTCGAGTAAATGGCGAGTGAAGCTGTGGCTAGGCAGACATCTTCCACTCAGAGATCTCCTGCTCAATCGCCACAGCAATCCCCGCAGGAACAGGCACCAACAGCAGATCCGGAGCTACAGTCTCACCACCGTCACCCCCGGCATGGAGGATCTCCACCACTGCTTTAGGGAAAGGGCGTAGCTCTAGAGGAGAGCGAGTAAATGGCCAGTGAAGCTGCGGCTCCCAGTCCCCGCGGGAACAGGTGCTAGCAGCAGATCTGGACCCGCGGGCTCTAGATCCAACGGGTCCAGTGGTCCACCCAGTGGCAGCAGCAGCACCTCCACCAGCGACGACAGAGGTGTTGAGAAGAATGCCATGGAGGACGTTTTCTCTTTTTGTTATGGAGGGATGAACGAGGGGGGTGGTGCGATGACACTCGGTGGTTTTCAGCCTCCAAAAGACATGGTTTTTATGTTGTCTTGATCATACTTTCAAGGACATTCTTCTTCACATTCCTCTTAAGCTTGGAAAGAAACAACACATCCTTAAGCTGTCTACTGTGGTAAATGCCACTGGCCCCGACCAATATTTCATTGCCCCTTCGGCATTACAAGCCTTAATCAATGTAGTTACTCTTGAAGTGGAACATGAGTAAGTTAAAGAATGTTGAGATATCTTACTCATTTTAGTGACTGACTGGATCGGACCATCTGTGACAGTCACATTTACCAAGGAACTCTATCTCGAAGCTTTATTTTTATTTATGCCTAGGAGTATATTTTGTTCTAAATATTTATATTATCAAGTTTTTAAGAATTAATTTTTGTAATGAATCTAACATTTTCTAGGCATAATTAAAGTGGAATAAAATATTTGATTTTTTTATACAATTCCAATTTAGTTTTTATTATATTAAAAAATCAAAACAGTATTTTGCTACCTACACAGCATATGCTGGGCAAGTGCTAGTTTTAAGATAAGTGCTTTGACTTTCTTTTTTTACTTCTTGCTTTAAGTTTATATTTACACTAGATAGGTTATTTCATCTCATTTATCATCCCTAGCAAATATGCCTCGGCTTTGCAAAGTATTCAGAGGCATACGTCACCATTTGCCTCCAACTACTGACACTAGCACATATAATCATATTCACAACAACCTTGCATATGCTAATGAATAAACTAATCTAGACCTTGAACATGCTAATAAAAAAATTACTTCAAATCTTGACAATGCTAATACAAACATAGCATATGCTGATGAAGGTCATACAAATATAAACCTTGAAAATGCTAATGAAACTAATACAAATATATGTAATCATCACAGTTATACAGTCTATAAATTAGCACATCAAAATAATTATAATGACCATAAAATACATATGTTTAATATTGGAAATATGTCATCCATATATGTCTTTTGTGGTGCATTACATTTTGAAAATGAGTCAAGATCAATGTGCTGCCAGAATGGAAAGGTTTCCCTTCCCCAACTTTCATCTTTACCTACTATATTGCATATGCTTTTTAATGAAAATAAAAACTCCAATTTTAAAATTAACATAAGAAATTTCAACAGTGCTTTAGCTTTTGCATCAATGGGTGATAATATTAATAATTTAAGTGGTAAAGGCTCATATTGCTTTAGAATACATAGTCAAATTTATCACAATATTGCTACAGCATATCCTGCTGCTAACGTGCCACCATCATATGGACAACTTTACATGCTTGACGCATCTGAGGCTACAAATATTAGAAAGCAAAACCCATTCAACACAAATTGTGATTCTAATTTATTATTACAATTAGATAAATTGCTAAGAACAATAAACCCGTATGCACAAGCTTTTCAAATGATGTATAATCTTGAATCACAAGAACAATATCGCTCAATTTGCAATGGAACTCCAAAACATGGTGTTTATATGATTGTTAGAAGTGAAAATATTAATCTACATCGTTATAATTTGCCACGGACTAATGATGTTGCTATTGTTTTCGCTATTGATGAGGGTGAGCCATCTCTTGACAAAGAAATATGCATACATTCATATAACTCACAGTCAACAAAAATCTCTATTCTTAATGAAAATTATGATCCTATAGTTTATCCTTCACTTTTACCATTTGGTGATAAAGGTTGGCATAAAAAAATCTATCACAATGAGTTGCATGTAACGCTACTCCAGTACTATGCATATCGATTATCTCAACGAGATAGTATTGGCAACTCTTTCCTTTATGATCAATTACTATATGCTGAAAAACTCACTCAACAATTTATAGTTGATGCATATGTAAAGGTTGAATCTAACAACCTTAATTTCTTTCGTACTTATCAAAAACACTTAAAAGTGGATTACTACACAGGTATTATGGACTATGTTAGCAACAGAGCTGTTACTAATAATGCTAAACCTGGAAAAGCTATAATTTTGCCTTCTATATTTCCTAGTAGCCCACGAGTAATGCAACAACATTATCAAGATGTTATTGCTATTGTCACACATTTTGGAAACCTAACTTATTTATTACATTTACATGCAACCCAAAGTGGCCTGAAATTGTGCAAAACTTACAACTGAATGAATCACCTGAGGATCGATCTGATCTTATTTCAAGAGTTTTCAACTTAAAGCTTAAAGAATTCTTACATGACATAAATATCAAAGGAATTTTTGGGAAGTGCATAGCATATGTTTATGTTATTGAATTCTAGAAAAGAGGTTTGCCTCATTGTCATTTCTTAGCAATGTTATCAAGTGAAGACAAGATAAGAAATTGTGATTCGGTTGATGAATTTGTCACCGCATAGTTGCCACACCCACTGCTAGAACCAGAATTGCATAACATAATTATAAATCATATGATACATGGTCTATATGGTAATTTAAATCCTAAAAGCCCTTACATGGAAAATAATAAATGCTCTAAAAATTATCCAAAAGAATTTAATGTTGAAACCATTTATTGTGTTGATGGTTATCCTGATTACTACTGACCCAATAACGGACGCACTTTCATAAAGAATGGTTGTACTATTGATAATAGATGGGTTGTTCCTTATAATAAATACCTTTGTAAAAAATATAAAGCACACATTAATGTAGAGATCTGCGCTTCTATTAAAAGTATTAAATATTTATTTCAATATGTATACAAAGGTTATGATTGTGCAACATTAGAATTCCTAATTGCATTTGAAGAACGAGGGACTTTAAATTGGGATGAAATCTCAAGTTTTGTCGATGCTTGATATATTTCTGCTCCTGAAGCCATGTGGCATATATTTAAGTTTCGTATGCATGATAAATCACTAACTATTATACACCTTCCAGTTCATTTACCCAATTTTCAAAATGTCTATTTCAAACCAAGTCATGAACAAGAAGCACTAGAAAGAGCCACTCAAAATGGAACAATGCTTACACAATAGTTCAATTTAAACGTGCAAGATACTAATGCAAGGCAATATACATATGCTCAAATTTTGTTATATTACACATATAACAAATCCTTTCATAAATGGCAATTACACAAACGAAAAGCTAAACTCATACCAAGAATGTATTCCATATCTCCTTCTAATAATGAGTTGTACCACTTGTGGCTTATATTACTCCATAAAAAAGGTGTTATATCATTTGAGGATATATGTACTATCAAAGATGTTATTTTCTCCTCTTTTAAACAAGTAGCTATGGCAATGGGACTTTTAGCAGATGATTCAGAATGGCAACATTGCATGCAAGAAGTTTTTACTTTTAAAATGCCATCCCAATTAAGATAATTATTTGTTTTTATTTGTTTGTATTGTTCACCAAAAGATCCAATTCTATTATGGGATCAATTCAAAATTGATATGTTTGAGGATTATGCTAGAAATGATATAAACTATTTTGACATTGTTTTAGTCGATATTAATTCAAAATTCCAACAACACAATAAATCTAATTGTGATTTTGGTTTACCACTCCCAACTCTTACTCCCATTATCAAACACATGCTTAATATAGAGATCCATGACCCATCACAAGACCAAATAAATGCAAACATAAATCAATTCAGTTATAAACAACGTTATATTTTTGAACTCATTATAAATGCCATTGACACTAACCAACATCAATGTTTCTTTATTGATGGTACTGGAAAAACTTTTCTACTTAATACCATCATTACAGTATTACAATTTTAAAAAATAAAAGTAATCAGTATGGCATGGATTGGGATTGCAAACATTTTGCTAAAATATGGTCAAACAGCACATACAACTTTTAAACTTCCTGTTCCTTTAAATGAAACTTCTGTCTCTGCTTTAACAATTAATAGTGATACTGGAAAAACCATTAAACAAGCAAATGTTCTCATATGGGATGAAATTTGGTCCACACACATGCTTTCTCTATGGTTGATAAATGTTTAAAGCATCTTAAATGTAATTCTAAACCATTTGGAGGCGTTATAGTGATTACAAGTGGTGACTTTCGTCAAACCTTTCCTGTTGTTCCCCATGGCCATAGAACCTCTATTATTTCAAACTCAATTAAAATGAATAGACTATGGTCACTTTTTACAACACTAACACTAACAAAGAATATGCGTTCAAGCAATCTTTGTATTTCTGAATGGCTTCTCAAACTTGGCAATGGGTAATAGTAGTTTGCAGTTGCCATGTCTCCCACCAAATATTATCAAAATACCACATGCATTATCTATCTCTACACCTATTGTAAACTTTGTTTTCCCAAATACTGATGATATTATAAATACCTATACAACTACATCAAAGGTTATTCTCACCCCACTCAATGATGACACATTTAGAATAAATAATGACATTGTTGGAAGACTACCAGGTGATCCATATGTTTATTTGAGCATTGACACGGTTAACTCAGATCACCCTAAAGAGTTCCCAATTGAATTCTTAAATTCAATCACCCCATCGGGACTACCATCACACAAATTAATTCTAAAAAAAAATGTGATTTTGATTCTTCTTAGGAACATATCTCCACAAATTGGTTTATGCAATGGCACTCGCCTCATTCTCAAGCAAGCATCTCAGAACGCTTTAGATTGTGAAATTATCATGGGACAATTCAAGGGATCGCGAGTTTTTATTCCACATATTACCCTTACACCTTCTGATATTGAAATCCCTTTCAAGATGTCCCGAAGACAATTCCCAGTTCGTCTGGGTTATTGCTTAACTATTTTTAAAGCCCAAGGCCAAACTTTCAACCATGTTGGCATTTACCTCCCCTAACCTATTTTCACACATGGTCAACTTTATGTTGCTTTGTCAAGGTGTAGATCACCTGAACAACTTCGTGTTCAAGTGTTTGTAACCCCCTTTCAAGGCAATCTTATACCACATGATCAACACTTTTACACTGTGAATATAGTCTATGCTGAAATTCTTAAGTAGATTGACAAATACATGGCACAATTCTAAATATAACCATGATTCCACAAAACTATCTACTCAGCCACCCTTGACTTGCAATTGTGAGTTTCAAGTGCACACCACAACAAAGCTAGCACTGACTGGTGTGCCTTGGATGGTGTCCCATTTTAGTTATGGCAACATGCTATTAAGTTGCTAATGGCAGAAGTATACTTTTCATCCTATTGCTTCTTGAGTGCAGCTCTCATTGCAATATAATGGTTTTCGGCTCATCCCAGGAACCTCTCTAGCGGGCTGTGGAACAAGTAGCAACACCTGCACCAAAGATGGACTTGGAAGTATTCTTTGGGCTTTTTGTGTTCAAAATGGAGGAATGCAACTCAATAGTGATCTAATCTAGCTTATATAATGCTTATAACACATTTTGTCAAGAGAATGTCTTTCAGTTGTGGAGTCGATCAAATAGCAAACATAACTAAGCTCAGGAAACCTCTTCAAATGGCATCAAATTTGCCAACCACCCAGCATTTGCTGGCAATTGCTAGTATAAACATAACTTTTCAACTATTTTCGCTGCTATCTGCTAACAAACAATAGTATACCATGGGAACTGGAAATCTTCTGGCTCGTCAAGGAGTGTAGCATGTGTTCAGGATGTCCTTGTTCTTTGCAACCTTGGAGTAGGGGGAACCGAAAATACACATGGCAACGATGCTTTCCACATTAAAAAGTACCAATTTCGAAAGGATGAGTTACCTTTCCAGGAGTCCTGGCACATCAGCGATTTGTGTTGGCCACTACTTAACTCAACACAGAGTTTGTTTTACCTCTTAGAGCCTCTGCTCTCGAGTCCTGCCGTGTCAGTGAGTCCCGCCACATCAGCATGTCCTGCCATATCAGCGAGTCCCACCACGTTAGCGAGTCCTGCCACATCAACGATTTGTGCTGGTCGCCATTTAACTCAGAATAACCTTTCTAAAAATACGGTATCCCCAGGACCTTGCCGTGTGCGCGTAGTTTGTCTGTAGGAACTTCAGCTTGCAAGTTTCTGCAGTGTTATTCAAAGCCGGCAAATCATCCGATAGCACAAACACCACCATGTAGCCAGCTCTGTCTAGTATCCCAAAAGCAGGGTTCACCAAGTTCTTCAGTAAAGCATCCGAGAACTCCGTATACTGATCAACCACCCCCGGCTCAGCAACGCATCTAGTAGGCAAATCGATGATGAGAAGATCAACAGCTCCCTGGACACATTTCGGTAGAGACTTTGCACAAAAAAGTGAACAGTTCAGCTTGACCTGTGACTGACAATCCAATCCTCAAGCTCCTTTAGTCCTGGCGGAAAAGGTCCCAGCTTTGAAGTACTACTGGACTGCAAGGTTTCCTGAATCTGCATGAATGATTTCCCAACTCCCGTTTCCGTTCTCTGGCATCAGCATCCTCAACATATCACCTTCTTCCGATCTGGCGACGGGGCTGAAGAAAAAGCCTGGCCCTTGCTGCCCTTGGTGGCCGATCTTGCTGACTTGTGTATCTTGTAGCTGGCCATCTCCCATTCCGGACAGCCACCGGGAAGGAAATCCAGCCAGAAAGGACAGTACTACACTTCAAAATCGCTAATGTCACACATGAGCCTGCTCCACATACATCCAAAATTTTCAGGGAGTGCATCATTTTTCCATTTGAAAAACCATAAATAGATAAATATAAATAAAGAAACCAATTAAAGACTTGCCTGAATGTCATTCTTTTCGAACTCAAATAACTGAGAATGTAAAATTGTCGCACTAACTCCTTGTTCTCACGCATCCTCTGGTACATATCTAGCTCGTGCATCTTCATATACCAGGCCATAAACTCGTCAACGTAACTGCTTGCCTGTTCGACCTGCAAGTGCCATTCCCATTAGCTTTTTTCACAACTTGCTAAGGAGGTCTAAGACCTCCCAACCAAGAGTTCCTTTGCATTTGGTACTTCTTCACCCACCGAGGTCGCTCCTATGAAGATAGATAACAATTAAGTAATATATCAACAAAGCAAAAGAGGACTTCATCCACCTCTATGCTAAGTCCCATTACTCTTTCAATGGCAACAAATTTCATTTTGTCAATATTTAAACTCTTATTACACAAGTTCTAATAAACCAGGCAGAACCTAAACCAGATACAATAGACTCAGCTTAATTCGCATTGCAAGGTTTCCTTTGTTCCTTTGGCACTAAGTGGTTAGTAGCGTCAGTGCTCTCCACTCTCAATAGGGTACTAAAACAACTGGTACTCCACCCACCACGTTCGCCCATTAATTGCCAAAAGACATACCATCTTGTTTCTCCAAGTGAAATTACACTCTTTGATGAAAACCACCTAATAGAGTTTCAGCTGCCTTCAGTGACTTGCATATTCACTAGCATTCGGTTAGTTATTTCCCCCACAAGCCACTAATCCTAGATAATAAAAAAACTCGGACAACCAGAAATCCACATCTCTCACAGGGACAAGTTCTATCCAAACATGAGGTGGTTTCACTCCACCAAGCCTTTCGGTTATGCCTGCATTTCAACGCTTCCACAATCTAATACCTTCAGTTCCATATCTGAGCATTGTGGAGCTCATACTATCTGGTTCACCCAGGGCCTTTACGAGCCTACCAATAACCAAGAATTTCCAAAACCACATTACAGGTTTTCAAGCTCTTCAAACTCTCTCTATCGGTAAACTAGTTCTCCAGAGTTTCAGTTAGGTTCTCTAGTTAGCCAGGAAGAAAAACTCTTCCTACAGATTAGCATTCGTTTAGCTTACAACAACTTGTAGCCAGCAAGGAATCTGGATCTTCCAACATGTTTTGAATTGACGTCCCATTTCGCAGTTCATCTGTTTGAAAATAAACTAAAGAAAATTAAAACAGTCAACTAGTCTCTCTGATACCAGGACCCATTTCTGGTACTGGCTGCCCTCTCAAGAAGCCTCGACCTACGTTCCGACTCGGAGCTTCTATTTTACCAACTTTCGAGTGCGGCATAAATGTTAAATGCTATTGCCTGGAGATTCTCATAAATGTTAGAAGCTAGCATTTATGTTGTTGCCATGGCTGGAACAGTGAATGTTGCCATGTGTGCAAGAATGGAATTCATTCGTGTGGCAGCGAGGGATGATTTGCAAGCGATCTATGGTGCCTTGAAAGAAGTCGTTGTTGCCATAGCTGGAGCAATGGATGTTGTGGCTAACCTCCAAGCCCTTCACGGCACTCTTGAAAGCTGACATTGCCACAACCCTCTATCGGGTAAGCATTTGTTAGATCTAGATTTTGTGCGGCTTTTAAAATACTGGATCAGGATTTGGATGGCTTGATCAGGTCCAAAGCGCAAAGTGGCGCTGCTGCTGGTTCAGTGATTCATAGAAACGACGAAGTGTTCTTTTTTTCTCAGGAAATTTTTTTCTGATTCGGATCTTCGGAAATAAAAAGGCTTATATGTCGTAAGCTTCTGATAGTAAGTCTTTTTCCGGGCAAGAACATAGACATGAACGTGGCCTGGCAGTATCTAATTGGTACTTTCTTGTAGGTGGATGAGACCCTTTGGAGCTGCCGATAGTCACTACTGGGTTTTGTATGGTAGAGGAACATGTGATAGAAGGAAGATTTACAAGCGATCCATGGTGCATTAAAGGAGGGTGTGGTTGCCATAGATAAATGGTGATGAACTTAAAAACCACATAAATTGCAATGGTGCTAACAAGCACCATGGCAATAGGAAAACTCCATCACTAGGGTTTGCAGCAACAAGAACAAAATCAACCTTCACAAATCAGGGTTTGCAGCAGCTATGAAAGACGTCACAAGAACCCTAAGCTAACGGTCCCTTTGAAAATAAAGACGTGGCCACTGGCGGCCGTTCGTACAGTGGTCTGGCGGGAATTCGAGTTCCTTGTGCCACGATCAGTGGATTCTCGCGATTTCTATCAGTACGTGGGCTCGATGACAAGAGGACGAAGAGAAGGATGGCGCTCCATCTCCCCGACTTCTTTCGTCCTCATGGTTTTCCAGGTATAAAAAGATTGAGAGTGATCCTCGGACTGATAATGTAGATGGATGTGTAAGGAATATGTTTCTTTTCTTCGTTAACTAAGACCTCGAGAAATTTTTTACAAAGCTCACATTTGCAGTGCCTCAGAGAAGCGTTCTCTCAGCCGCTCCACCTTGAGCACCGACGAATGCTGTTTCCCAAAATATGTCCGGAAGTTGTCGATCAGTATCCAAGGTCGTGTGACACCGCCATCACGCTACGATAATAGTTGTTCTCCAGCCGCTCGCGAATCACGTCCATGGAGATTGGTAGCGCAATCCTGCATTGATTGAAAACCTTTAGCTTCTTTCTCAATCGCAAGAGATTTTTCCAACTTGCCTGTCAAGAAAATCCGGCTTGCTCACGGCCTGCTGCAACCTCCACAAGCCATACTCGTCCTGCGAAAAGCAAAAGCTCGTCAAGCCAAAAGCAAAAGCAAAACCTTCCTCACGTCTATGATCGATCGCGCAAAAACAAACCTTGGATTGGTTCGAGTGGAGCACCTCGTCCACGATGTCGAGCAGCTCACGCACCTTGTCCTGCTCGATCTGTGGCGACTCCCAAGTTAAAGGATTCTCAACGTCGTGAAGCTCCCAGGGGCAGTGGTTCGTCGTCGATGGCTCGTCCTTGTACAGCACACTGATGCTGTCCCAGGGGCTGTTTGGAAACTCGGGCGACTTTGCCTTCACCTGAGTTATCGTCCCTTCCCACCAGCGACCACCTTCTTCCTCGTCCGACCTCCACTTGTCCCGACTGGACCAGTTCCTGGCCATGGAGGCCTCGTAGCGGCTTCTCTCCACTATAAAGTCGGCGAAGTCTGTCAGCTCCGGCAAGTCGACGCTGAAGCTGCTGCCGCGAATCCTGTACCCGTCCATGAACTCAAGAGTCAGCCGGCAACAAGTGTTCCCCGACACCTCGAGAATGATGTACTCCAGTCCGGTGATCTCGCAGAACTCGACCGCTTGCAGTTCCCTTTTCACGCTTCTCCAGGGACCATCGTCGTCGAGCCGCTTGTTGTCTAAGTAGTCTTGATGTCCCTGCGATCGACAGTTTCAATTCAAACATAATTCAAGACAAGCTCGTTGGATCTCTTACCTGTCGGAAGTACACCACCTCATCACCATACTGTGGGATGTAGCGCGTCCGCTCCACCTCTATCAAGAGTAACCAGGACACGTTGCTCGGACTCCGATGCACCGTGCTCAGGTTTCTCCTCACGTGGAAATCCTTGTACCTCGACCCAACGTTCTTCTGCAGCTTCACTTTAAGTCTGCTCGAAGTTCTTCTTTCGGGCTTTCGGCGTCCATCGTCGTCGCTGCTTCTATCCCAGTCCGAGTCGTCGTAAGACGAGCTAGCTTCCCAGTGTGAGGAACGGCCGACGTTTCTCCTGCTTCTTGTGGACCTGCTGTTAACCACGCGACCCTGCCCCAGCCGTGTACTTCTCCTGCGGCCACCTGAAGCGTGCTCGTCGGCCTCATAACACTCGGTCTTAGTCGCAACTTTGCGAGGCCTTCTCCTTGAGTAGACGGCCTTGTTCATATTGCGCTTCATTTGTATATCGTCCACGTCCAGGTCCTCACTTGCCTGCTCTTCCTCGGGCTTGTAAGCATCCTCCAGCGACTCACTGTTACTGCCGGGTGAAACCTCTTCGTGGTAATCAGGGTCATTGTCACCATCTGGAGCTTCTCCATTCTGTAAGGACTCATTGCTCATAAGAGTGTGATTCTGCTCTCGTCTCTGCTGTTCGTCACGGTAGTCAGCTGAAAGAGACCTCTCCGACTCGGACTCGCTAATGATCGCCCTTGCCACCACCTTTGTGTCTCCGTTTTCTACACGAGTCGCTTCAAGGCCTTTCTTGGTATCACAAGGAACGTCTACCAGTTTATCCTCTTCGGAGCTGCTGCTGCTGTGATAAGGCATGCGAGCACGCTTGGCTGCTTTCCCCTTCTTCCATATGTATCCCTGTTTGTCGTCAGACGAAACAGCTTCAGTGGGATTCTCGTCCGCGATAAAACCATCTGTTTCTGGATGACTGTCATTAGCCTCGGCCACGGGGACCTTAGAAGTGCCTTGTTCTGGTATTTCGAGGCTCCGAAAAGTATCCTCGTTGTTGGACGTTTGTGCACAGTTTCTCAACTTGAGTACTAACTTTCGCTGAGACCTTGGCCGCCTGCATTCACCCACATCCGAAGTCTCTGCGGGACTCTTCTTCGGAGGTTCATCGTCTTCACGTTCCTGAGTTTCTGTAAGAACTTTCCCGTTGCGTAGAAGCCTCTGGTTCTCGTTCTCTCCAGATGTACCAGGTCTTTTGGCATCCTCAGCGGCCAGGCGGCGTGCTTCGTCGTCTTCGTACTCATGTAAGCTCGAAAACATGGTCAACGCATTCCGAGCTGCCATCCTCATAGGCCTCAATGCATGGTCTGGGTTTGACTTTCTTATCCGCTTTCTAGACCTCAGCCTCTGCATTTCCTCAGGCATCAAAAGAGCATTGTTTGACTCCTCCAAGCGCCTGCGCTTTTGCTTCCTCACCAAGGTTGCGAGTACCTGTAGTGGACAATCACCATTGAAGTTATCAGAGACGCAAAAGCTGGACGTACGTACCTCTCTCTTCTTTTTCCTTGTTCTTCGGTTACGAAGCCCATCAGAATCGATTTCGTCAATTTCTTTGTCGGTTGTTTCCGATTCACAGATCGTACCACTTTCTTCTCGAGCTTTCTTCGCTCGCGCAGTAATCAGAACCAGAATCGTCACTCAATCCAGTGACTTCTTCATCCCAGTCCATTGCCTCACCATCCGCCGGTTGTTCTACCCATCTGTTGCCTTGCTGGTTTGTTTGCTCGATTGCTTGTAGAGCGGCAACTACTGCTTGAGGCTGATCTTGAGGAATAAACGCTGGATCATCAAACGTTCCCACTGCGAGCTGAACTGATGGTGGTTGCCAGTAGCAACCTAGGAGTCCCAGACGACGTTGCTGGTACGAACTTTGATAAGGTTCTGGATAGGGAATCAAGCCTGAAAATGAAACAGAAAAATAAGTTGGACGAGGTGAGAAGTCACCAGCTTACTTGCATCGCACAAGAGATCTTGAAGATTCCTTTGATGAGGAGGCAACTGAGTTTCCTGTAAAAGAAAGATACTCAGTTTTTGCAAGAACAATACCCGAAAAGAACAACACTCAGGACTAAAACTAAATAAAAGCACTTACATCATTTTATTTACCTGATCGAGAACGTTTCCATGAGTATCTCGAACAAGAGGCCGATAATCTCCAAGAAAAAACTAAACAAAACCCGAAAAACAAACAAACAAAAAAAAGCTGTTAGGAGAAGGAGATGAAGCTAATCTTCCTGATACCTGGTCGTATTTCGCATCTTCGTCGTCTTGACTTGGTGGTGCTCCCGTAGAAAAAAGGTAGACCTGGCCGACCTCATCGGAAACAACCAATGAGGTTCCATCCCTGAAAATTGGCAAACATGAGAACAGTATATGGATATGAGAACAAGCTTACGGTGAAAAGTTGCCATCGACAAGATTATAATCTCCCGTCTCAAATGTCCTTACTGGACGGCCCTCCCAGATCTAAAACAAAATTCGTGATCATTTTTTTTGAGCGAATACACTTACATCCCACACAATAACTCGGCCATCGTAGCCCGCACTCATTGCAATGTGAGGATTGCATGGATGTACATCTAGCACGTAAGTCTAAATAATAGATGTTAAGAAAGAATAGAATCAATAAATTCAATACCTGCTTGGTATGGCCAGTTAAACAGTGCACCAGACTGCCATCAACCGCATTCCAGACACATATCCGGCAATCTGCACATCCATGTTATTCCATAAAATTAGTTCGTGAGGTATCTTACCCATAATCGCGGCGAGTACAAAACGATTGTCCAAACTCCAGACTATCATATTAACACCTCGAGGAGTTGGAAGCAGTTTTTGTTGAGGTCCACCGCGCTTTTCGAGGATTCTCTGTAACAGTTTATTTCCGAATGGAGTTGGCTTGGTGGCCGGCTGTTTTGATTTCACTCCTCAAACTTGCGGACGGGATTCCCGTCACTCATGAAGTCTTCAACAACAGGAAAGGCCTGTGTCAACCCGTATCACTACACCTGCAGGGAGTTTTCGGTCTGTGAAACTATCAAGCACTTCAATGACTCTGAATCTTTCGTTTTCTTCTGCCGCAGGTTCCAACCAAGGATGGATTTCTGCTGGGTGTGCAACGAATGTATGCTGCGAACAGATCCAAGGGGCCGGTGTTTCTGTACCATGGCATTATGCAGGTGCGTCTTCGTTCCTCTTTATCAATTCTTGTTCTGACTGATTGCTTGCGTGAGTTGAATTGCGTTGCAGGGAGGAGAGGTGTGGGTTGTGAATCAACCAAAGGTCACTCGCATTTCTGCTCGCCGACGCTGGTTACGATGTCTTCATCGGAAACACAAGAACTTCCAACTTCAGCTACGGCCATTCCTCATTAACACGCTGAGACGATGTAGACAGACACGCACTCCACTCTTTGAGTTTGAGTCTTCTGACGAGCCGCTTTGCAGGACTATTGGGACTGGACCTGGGATACTCTGGTTGACCAAGATTTGCCAAACATGCTACGTTTCGTGCATGCTCAGACGAATCAACGAGCAATGTATGTCGGCTTCTCGCAGGTAAACTCTTTTACTCTTTTACTCTTTCTTCATTTCCAATGTTCTAAACTTTCACTACGAGTCTTTTGCAATGACTGCTTTTGCTGCGTTTTCCCGTGGAGACGTTTCAGGCCAGGTCAAGAAGGCCGCAATGCTCCCGTTGCGTACTTAGAGCATGTTGACGCCCCTATGCTCTCCGTCGCTTCGCGGATGTACTTAGACAAGGTTTTTTTTTTCATTTTTCATTTCCGCTTTTTGTAACTCCTGGTTCCTGTCAGATCCTTCTGCTGGCGGGCGTGTTTGAGTTTCGCGTTGAAAAGTATGTATCACAGAAGTATTTTTGCGTTCCACCGGGTCTGATTCAATGCAGCCAAGATCAGTTCGGGAGGCAGAAGGGTGATCAACTCCGTCTGCAAGTTTCAGCGAACGGAACATGAGGATTGCTTCAACAATGTGCTGGATCTTGTCACAGGAACTACTGTGATAATCTCGCCTTCAACCAGCTTCCGGAAACTAATGCAGGACCGAACTGCTGCATCAATCCAACAAGAAGATCCCGGTACGAGATGCAGGGAACCTCGATGAGAAATCTTGCGCAAATGGCTCAGTGTAAGAAATCTGCTGCGTTTTTTTATTCCTCCATCATCCTTTTCGACATCATCGTTGCAGTGGTACGATCTGGAGAGTTTCAAAAGTATGATCACGGCGCCATTGGCAATCTTATGCACTACGGAAGCATGAATCCGCCATCGTATGACCTCTCCAAGATCCCCAGTGACATTCTGCTGATCCGGGGAGAGAAGGATGAACTCGCTGACAGAGAAGATGTTGAGCGTCTAGTGAAAGAACTGCCAGGACATCCTCAGTTTGAGATCATCCCTCGCTATGCGCACGGTGATTTAGTGCTCGGAGCTAACGCAACTTCGTTGGTGTTTAAGAAGGTGCTCGACTTCTTTGCCAAGTGAAACAGCTCTCCTGCCTCTGCAAGTAAACATACGATGCAAATATATGTTAGAAATGTTGTTTGGCGCCGGGGTTTGCATCCTGGAACATCTGCTGCTCCGGGTACTTCTGCCTACTGGAAGGCGTCACGGCATTTCGATTCAAAGCAGGAGATTCATCAGGAGGTATGATTTCTTCCTTAGAGATCCAGAAAATGCATCGCGCATTTTGATTTCAAGCGTGATTGGCAGCTCTCAGAAGCGTAAATTGCCGCTTACTGTAGAGCCGGTGCTATATCCTCCACCAAAGAGGCAGAAGAAATGCACAATGCAGGCCACACAAGTGAAAAAAGCTCAAGAAGTTGTGCTATGGACTGAGAAGTACTCTCCGAAAGCAAGAGGGGACATTGTTGGAAAGCAAAACTTGGTACTACTTTGTGATTTTGTTTTGTGTTCATTCAAGTTTATGTTGGCAGATTTTGCGACTGCACTCTTGGCTGCAAACATGGGAAGATTATTTGGCTCGTGCAGGTTTGAAGAGGGCAGTTTTGACCAGCGGGCTACCTGGAGTTGGAAAATCTATTGCTGCTGTTGCCGTCAGCAAGGGTTTCGGTAAGTAATCCTGAAACCTTGCTTTGATATTTCATCTTCATGTAGCTTTCATCACAGGCACTTTCTATTGCGTCGAAGGAAAAGCAGCTGGGAAACATTCTGAACGAGTTGTTAAACAATCGACGGCTCTGGTTTGCTCTTCAGTAGAAAGACGCTGCTCATTGTGGAAGGGATGGATCAGCTGGAGGACTCAACGATTCAGTCTTTATCTGATTTAGTAAGACGGGGCAAACTTCCAGTCATTTGCATATGTAATGACAGATATCACAAGCGCATCCGCAATCTTGCGGATTACTGGTTCGAGCTCAAGTTCCAGAAACCCAAAACAAACGATACGTCTGGTAACGTTGTTTATTCTTCAGATCTTGAAATTGCTTTTCGGTGTTCAGGAGCAAGAAAACGTGCTTGTGGATAAGGTAGCTTGGTGCGATTCACGAGCTGCTGACAAAAGCTTTGGTTCAGGAATTTCTGAAATTGCTTGTAGACAGTGCTCAACGGAATGTTCGACAGAGTTTGCTTCAGATGCAGGTGTCGTACCTGGTGGTATTTCCAATCTGTGTTTCTTTCTGATCACTGAAGTCTGCAGTATCTGTGTGCTGGAAATCCCGTAAACAGGAAACTAGATGCGAAAGATAGTATGCCGAGTTCGTTCGCTGTCGTAGACAGGTAAGAATCCGAACACAGCATTACGACTACTACTAACACACGTTGTTCTTAAGCTTGTGCGCTGAATTAGGCACTCGGACGAACCAACCTCTTCCAGCTCGCATCAATCTCATACTTGAAGATTTCGAGTTTGTTGCACTCCTTGTTCAGGTAAGACAACAGTTTCGACCTTTTTTTTGTCTATCTTGTTTCTGTCAGGAAAACTACATCAACTACAAGCCTGCTAACTGAAAGGAAGCGTTTATCATGGATTCTATTTCAAAAGCTTCGGATTACCTTTACGTTGGAGACATGACCAGCAAAAGCATGCACAAGTATCGGACATGGGAGCTCACAAACTTACTTTGTGCAGTTCTGGCTCTGACCTGGTATGACATGCAACTTCTCAACTGATGTACTGGTATCTACGGGTATGTTATCTGCAGTTCATCTGTTCTGCAAGGAAGAAGGGAGTCGTTCGATGCTGTAAGCTTTAATAACCTTGTTCGGATATTCTACGATATGTGTTTTGCAGATGGAAGATAAACTCAGATTTCCTGCATGGCTTACAAAGGGTTGTAAGAGGAAGAAAAGAGAGGGACGTTTGCACTGCAGGTCCGGCCGAATCGTGAGATATTTCTGTTTCTGCCTTTAGTCTGTTTTCAGCTTCAGAAGGTTTTGGCTTTGCAGATTCATTCCAGAACTCGATATCCTACCACCGTTGCTCAAGCGCCAAGCTCAGAGTGTAGGAACTGTACATTTGCTGGTGATCTGCTACTGACCTTTCTGGTACCAGATTCCAGATTTCCGAGGTCCCGCAGCTGAAGATCACGCATTTAAACAGACTACGGATGAGCTTTTCGCTCTGCTCAAGGAATGTCGGCACTGAGTGAGGTTGGAGTGTCAATTCGGGCAATGGTTTTCAACATGACTCGTTGATGCTTTGAATGCACAGAGGTATGAATGATTTTTGTCCTGAAACGGTTGAGCCGTCTTGATGTTAACAGTGTGTCTCATAGCTGAAACAGATTCGCTGTGCTGCCTCCTTCGAATTCAACAACGCAGTGTGTCAAAGACGTTCATGGCACTCGTAGTCGCAAATCGTTGCGCTGCTTGTGAGGGAGCTGAGCTCGTTGGAGTGTCAAAGACGTTCACGGCAAACCTTCGAATTCATTTCTGCTTGCAGCAAGCTGAAATGAGTTCGCAAAATGTTCGGCTGCTTGTGAGGGAGATTTCCGACTCGAGGTACTTTCCTTTCCCACTTTTTCTTGTTTCTTGATCATACACTTCTCTCTCGTGCATGCAGCCTGCCTGATTCTCATGCGAAATCATTCCCCTCTGATTCCGTGAAGTTTTTGTCTGCTCGTCTGAGTGAGACTTGACAAGTGCTGATCGTATCATCTAAAACGATGGTTTCTTTTTTTCTTTGTTTTCGTCTGTATCTACGTGCTCTTTTGTGCTGCTCATGACTTTGCTTCTCGTTTCGTGGGAGCCACGGAATCTTTGATTTTAATTGCCTGAAGCTTAACAGCTGCAGTATAGAGCACTAAGCTCCCCCATTTACTCCTGCCTCCGCCCGAGTCGTCTTCGCCTCCCTCAGCAATTGCATTTGGTCCTGTTTGATGTGGTGGGTGATCGTTTTGTTTTCTTTTTTTGCTTTGTTTTTTTTGGTGCTTAGGCCAAGCGGACAGACTTGAAAACATTTTCTTCTTCATCAGCAACAGGAGCTCTTCTCTAGCTCGTCGTCGCTAGTGTTTGGTGGTTTTGTCTAGGGCTCTATTCCAGCAGCATCGAAGCGCTTCATGGCACGTAGGGAGTTGATCTTCTCTTCTTCTTCTTCTTCTCCTTGATCTGATCCGATTCATTTCTCTGCCCCTCTCAGAGCAGAGTTTTTGGAATGCAATCCAGACCTTTGCGTTCCACCGCCAGGTGTGTTTTCTGAAGCAGCAGTTGCAAATAGGGTGATTAAACAACTGCTATTCAATGTTTGTAGTGTAGTCAACTTTGGAATTTCTCGTCGAATCATGTTTAATGCCTGGCGGGTTTCTTTTGCATCCTCGCCTGCCGAGCTGCGACTACTCCCTAGGTAGGTCCACTGAGGAAAGAAATCGACAAACAGGTGGTTTTGTTCTTGTTTTTCTTTATTTTATGCCGATTCTCAAGCTCAGCTGCTGACTGCTGTGTGCGTTTTGTAGATATGGATTCTGCTTCTGCCGCTGCTGTTACCTCTGATAATGTTACCTCTGTCGATGGGAGATCACGACGGCTTGTTGACTGATCTTCTGGACGATGTGTTCGGGTTGACATCCAGCCGCGTCTGTCACACTTCTTGCAAGCTTCGAGACGTCTGCAGCTCTGATAAGCTCTGGTTCCCGCAGTGCCAAAGGCTGGTTAGAGAAGAAGAAGCGGAGGAATACATCGACTTGAGCACTTGGAGGCATGGGATGCAGTTGCAGAAGGCGCTGTTCAGATTCATCAACGGGTCAGGAATCTGGTGGGTATTTGGGTGCATCAGAATCCGGAGCTGGGGAACTTAATCTATGTTACTTGGGGATTTCTTTCGGTGGTGGGCTGCCGAATCATACCACCCCTCGAGGAATGGATTGCGGGTTGCTCTGGGTTCCGGTGTTTGAGATCATCGGCCTTCCTGACGGATCTCTAGCGTTTTTCCTCCACGGAAGGGACAGGGACGACTACTGCTATCCCGGGAGATTTGAAGCCGCCAGGAGCAGCGTTCTCTTACTGGAAGCGGAATCGTTCATCACCGAGCAGAAGCAGCGTTTGCCAATCAGTCCAGACAGCACATCGTGGGGTTTGATGGCGGAGAACAGCGATGGCGACGAGTGCAGCTCGAGAAGATCAGAAAGCAGGTCTGGTACTGTTTCGGTAGGCTCAGCTTTGGTGACAGAAGACAACTGCTGGAAGCGCTGGTCACGCAAGTCCGGATCAAAATGCCCGCCTCCGTCTTCTTCAAGTCGAAGCATTCTTTCAAGAAGGAACTCAAGGCTGTGACGGAAAGGCATGCGCTGTTGCTGTGGATGCACATTCACGGGGATCCTTGCAGGATGGAAAGCAAAAGTTGAAATCGTTTGCAAAAGTTTCTCTTTGTTAGGGACTAATATGATATTCACATTTCTAAGTTTCTATTCGTCCAGTTTGTCAAACGCACCATCACAAAACATTTTCATAGCCACATGGTGGGTAGGCGACCTTGCCATAACGAAATCACAGTTCATGGCCATGTCAAAGTCTCGAAGATCATCATAAACAAGTCCCGGCAGCATGTAATGAACATGTATCACATTGAAGGAGAGCATTGCTTTGATCTGCCGCTGGCACTCCGAGATGTCTGACTTGAAGATATGGCGGCAAATCTTCGACAGCCCAACTGCACCATGCGCCACAATGAGCTTCATCACCTCCCTGAACTTAGCCTCTTCCCAGCCGTGACCATGCTCCAGTCCCAGGAGAATCATGGGCAGCTGTGCCACCACCATATCTTCAAGAACCACCTCCATGCTGCTTCCTGCTCGAACACATTGATCACACAGTTCTCAAGTGTTAAAGGGTAGCCACCACAGATCTCATACACCCTCTGCTCTCCGACCACGAGTCGGGAGCTGTGGCACCTGCTGTTATGCACTTGGCGACGAGGGTTGACAGGAATGCCTTGGCGTTCTTTTCACCAACATGCCCCACAACAACTGGCTTCCACTGCTCGACGTCTGTGTAACTCTGAAACCACTGTCGAAAAAATGTCATCAGAGGTGGACATAATCACCACAGCAGTTTGGTCCTGCTTAGTCATGGCTATGAAACATCCCAGGAGGGTGCCTATATCCTCCTTCCTGGGATGTTTCATAGCCATGACCAAGTAGAACTGGGCTGCTATAGTGATTATGTCCACCTTCGATAATTTTTTCCAGCAGTGGTTCTAGAGTCACATAGACATTAAGCAATGGAAGCCAGTTGCGAGGCACTTTGAGCTACCACATCTATGAGCCAAGAAGCCCAAGTTCACATCTGTCTTGCAATCTGTGCCACAGCCTGCTATGGGGAACTGAAGTCCGCAGCCCTCATGTCCATGTAGAAGAGCGGCAACTGGGCTTTCAGCAAAGGGCTGGTATCCCACATCACCATGTAGCCAGCTCTGTCTAGTATCCCGAAAGCAGGGTTCACCAAGTTCTTCAGTAAAGCATCCGAGAACTCCGTATACTGATCAACCACCCCCGGCTCAGCAACGCATCTAGTAGGCGAATCGATGATGAGAAGATGAACAGCTCCCTGGACAGAAAAGGTCCCAGCTTTGAAGTACTACTGGACTGCAAGGTTTCCTGAATCTGCATGAATGATTTCCCAACTCCCGTTTCCGTTCTCTGGCATCAGCATCCTCAACATATCACCTTCTTCCGATCTGGCGATGGGGCTGAAGAAAAAGCCTGGCCCTTGCTGCCCTTGGTGGCCGATCTTGCTGACTTGATATCCATCTTCACCTGGAGCTTCCTCACAGCACTCTCGTTCTTCCACAATAGCTCTCACCGATAATCCTTGTGTATCTTGTAGCTGGCCATCTCCCATTCCGGACAGCCACCAGGAAGGAAATCCAGCCAGAAAGGACAGAACTACACTTCAAAATCGCTAATGTCACACATGAGCCTGCTCCACATGTTGCAACATCCAAAATTTTCAGGGAGTGCATCATTTTTCCATTAGAAAAACCATAAATAGATAAATATAAATAAAGAAACCAATTAAAGACTTGCCTCATTCTTTTCGAACTCAAATAACTGAGAATGTAAAATTGTCGCACTGAACTCCTTGTTCTCACGCATGCTCTGGTACATATCTAGCTCGTGCATCTTCATATACCAGGCCATAAACTCGTCAACGTAACTGCTTGCCTGTTCGACCTGCAAGTGCCATTCCCATTAGCTTTTTTCACAACTTGCTAAGGAGGTCTAAGACCTCCCAACCAAGAGTTCCTTTGCATTTAGTACTTCTTCACCCACCGAGGTCGCTCCTATGAAGATAGATAACAATTAAGTAATATATCAACAAAGCAAAAGAGGACTTCATCCACCTCTATGCTAAGTCCCATTACTCTTTCAATGGCAACAAATTTCATTTTGTCAATATTTAAACTCTTATTACACAAGTTCTAATAAACCAGGCAGAACCTAAACCAGATACAATAGACTCAGCTTAATTCGCATTGCAAGGTTTCCTTTGTTCCTTTGGCACTAAGTGGTTAGTAGCGTCAGCGCTCTCCACTCTCAATAGGGTACTAAAAAAACTGGTACTCCACCCACCACGTTCGCCCATTATGTCAACCGACATTGCCAAAAGACATACCATCTTGTTTCTCCAAGTGAAATTACACTCTTTGATGAAAACCACCTAATAGAGTTTCAGCTGCCTTCAGTGACTTGCATATTCACTAGCATTCGGTTAGTTATTTCCCCCACAAGCCACTAATCCTAGATAATAAAAAAACTCGGACAACCAGAAATCCACATCTCTCACAGGGACAAGTTCTATCCAAACATGAGGTGGTTTCACTCCACCAAGCCTTTCGGTTATGCCTGCATTTCAACGCTTCCACAATCTAATAACTTCAGTTCCATATCTGAGCATTGTGGAGCTCATACACTAAAGGTTACCCAGGGCCTTTACGAGCCTACCAATAACCAAGAATTTCCAAAACCACATTACAGGTTTTCAAGCTCTTCAAACTCTCTCTATCGGTAAACTAGTTCTCCAGAGTTTCAGTTAGGTTCTCTAGTTAGCCAGGAAGAAAAACTCCATTCGTTTAGCTTACAACAACTTGTAGCCAGCAAGGAATCTGGATCTTCCAACATGTTTTGAGTTGACGTCCCATTTCGCAGTTCATCTGTTTGAAAATAAACTAAAGAAAAATAAAATTATTAACCGCGCGCGACTTTAGGTTTAACACATTTTAGGGGTTGGCGGCTATGGCGGCTGAAGCGGTGAGGGAGCTGAAGAAGTCGCTCAACGACGACGAGGGTTTCTTTGATAGGCACGAAGAGATGACTGATCTGCTCACACATATTGAGGCAGGCTTCAACCGCATCGCTGTAGTGATGGGCCCCAACGATTCAGGCAAGTCTGCTCTGCTCAAGCAGCTCAGGAAGATGTGGGATACCAGCCCTCTGCTGAAAGCCCAGTTGCCGCTCTTCTACGTCGACATGAGGGCTGCGAGTTCCCCGGAGCAGGCTGCTGCACAGATTGCAAGTCAGATGCGAACTTGGGCTTCTTGGCTCAAAGATGTGGCAGCGGCCCTTCTGAAGACGATCGGAGGTGTCAGTGTTGATTTGAAGAAGCTGACGTTCAAGGGCGTAAACCTTGATGCATCGAGCTTTCTAGAGCTGTTAAAAGCGGAGCCAGTGAAGGACTTAGGCTCTGTCATGAGTTGGTTTATGAGCCTGGCGGCTGAAAACCAGCACAGGAGGCCAATTTTTGTCATCGATGAAGCTGACAGGCTGAAGTGGTGGTCCGACCAGGATGTAAACACCCTCCTGGGATGTTTCATAACCATGACCAAAAAAGACCGGACTGCTGTGGTGATTATGTCCACCTCCGACGACCTTTTTCGGCGGTGGTTCCATAGTTATACAGATGTTGAGGAGTGGAGGCCAGTTGCTGTGGGGCACTTTGGTGAAAAGAATGCCAAGGCATTCCTGTCAAACCTCGTCGCCAAGCGCATAGCAGTAGGTGCTACAGCTCCCGACTCGTGGTCGGAGCAGAGGGTGTATGAGATCTGTGGCGGCTGCCCTTTAACACTTGAGAACTGTGTGATCGATGTGTTCGAGCAGGGAAGCAGCATGGAGGTGGTTCTCGAAAACATGGTGGTGGCACAGCTGCCCATGATTCTCCTGGGACTGGAGCATGGTCACGGCTGGGAAGAGGCTAAGTTCAGGGAGGTGATGAAGCTCATTGTGGCGCATGGTGCAGTTGGGTTGTCGAAGATTTGCCGCTGTATCTTCAAGTCGAACATCTCAGAGTGCCTGCGGCAGATCAAAGCAATGCTCTCCTTCAACGTGATACATGTTCGTTACATGCTGCCGGGACTGGTTTATGATGATCTTCGAGACTTTGACATGGGGCCTGCCATGAACTGTGATTTCGTCATGGCAAGGTCGCCTACCCACCATGTGGCTATGAAAATGTTTTGTGATGGTGCGTTTGACGAACCGGACGAATAGAAACTTAGAAATGTGAATATCATATTAGTCCCTCATCAAAGCAACAAAGACAAACTTTTGCAAACTATTTCAACTTTTGCTAAGCTTCGTTTTCCATCCTGCAAGGATCCCCGTGAATGTGCAAACAGTGCATGCCTTTCCGTCACAGCCTTGAGTTCCTTCTTGAAAGAATGCTTCGACTTGAAGAAAACGGAGGCGGGCATTTGATCCAGACTTGCGTGACCAGCGCTTCCAGCAGTCGTCTTCTGTCACCAAAGCTGAGCCTACCGAAACAAGTACCAGACCTGCTTTGCCATCGCTGTTCTCCGCCATCAAACCCCACGGTATGCTGTCTGGACTGATTGGCAAACGCTGCTTCTGCTCGGTGAGGTCCAGTAAGAGAACGTTGCAGTTGTTGCTCCTGGCGGCTCCAAATCTCCCAGGATAGCAGTAGTCGTCCCTGTCCCTTCCGTGGAGGAAAAACGCTAGAGATCCGTCAGGAAGGCCGAAGATCTCAAACACCGGAGCCAGAGCAACCATTCCTCGAGGGGTGGTATGATTCGGCAGCCCCCCACCGAAAGAAATCCCCAAGTAACATAGACTAAGTTCCCCAGCTCCGGATTCTGTCTGATGCACCCAAATACCCACCAGATTCCTGACCCCGTTGATGAATCTGAACAGCGCCTTCTGCGACTGCAGCCCATTCCTCCAAGTGCTCAAGTCGATGTATTCCTCCGCTTCTTCTTCTCTAACCAGCCTTTGGCGGAACCAGAGCTTATCAGAGCTGCAGACGTCTCGAAGCTTGCAAGAAGTGGCGCTGAGGTTGCAGAGATCTCTGTGACAGACGCGGCTAGATATCAACCCGAACACATCGTCCGGAAGATCAGTCAACAAGCCATCGTGATCTTCCATCAAGGAAAAAAACAAGCTCCTGGATCATGCATCAGAGGTAACATTATCAGAGGTAACAGCAGCGACAGGAACAGCCAGCCACCAAGCCAACTCCATTCGGAAATAAACTGTTACAGAGAATCCTCGAAAAGCGCACAAATATCACATGTTCCTCTACCATACAAAGCAATTGAACCCAGTGACTATCGGCAGCTCCAAAGGGTCTCATCCACCTACAAGAAAGTACCAATTAGACGCTGCCAGGCCACGTTCATGTCTATGTTCTTGCCCGGAAAAAGACTTACTATCAGAAGCTCACGACATATAAGCCTTTTTATTTCCGCAGATCCGAATCAGTAAAAAAAATTCCAGAGAAAAAAGAGAACAGTTCGTTGTTTCTATGAATCACTGAACCAGCAGCAGCGCCACTTTGCGCTTTGGACACGACCTGATCAAGCCATCCAAACCCTGATCCAGTATTTTAAAAGCCGCACAAAATCTAGATCTGACAAATGCTTACCTGATAGAGGGATGTGGAACAGTCGACCATGACTTGGTTGTGGGCTGCTATAACATCCTCCTTCACTGTGTCGTGAAGTGCCTGGAGGTCCTCCTTGATTGCAGCACGCTCCAACCACAGCAACAAAGTCCTCCTTCAAGGCACCATGGATTGCTTGCAAATCCTCCCTCACTGCTGCACGAATGGATCCCATTCCTGCTCCAACCACGGCAACAACGTCTTCCTTTATGGCACCATGGATTGCTGGCACATCCTCCCTCACTGCACCATGGATCGCTTGCACATCCTCCCTCGCTGCCACACGAATGCCGGAGGCCATCACCTGGAGATTCTCAGTCACGGCTCCCATTCCTGCACGCATCGTAGATGCCAGCACCAGCACACAAGCTGTGGTCACGATGCACAACACATTGATCGTAATGGTGCTAACAAGAGCTATTGCAAACCCCGATTTCTCGCAGTTGCAAAGCCTGATTTCATTGTTACGGACTTGGTGCTGGAATTTCTGATTGCGATGGTGTTTATTACAGAATCTTGTTAGCACCATCGCAATCATTCCATCGCCAGGTCCACAACAATAAAATCAAACTTTGCAGCTGCGAGAAATCAGGGTTTGCAACAGCTTTGCAAGACGCAAATGACACTTACCAAAATTTCGAGCCATATCTTCGCAAGAACCTAACCTAGGCTTCTCTTTTTTGGAATAAAGGCAATGTTACGTACAATGGGCCACTGGCCACTTTCTTGGTGGGCCGCCGTTCGTACAGTGGTCTGGCGGGAACTCGAGTTCCTTGTCAGTGGATTCTCGCGATTTCCATCAGTACGCGGCCTCGATGACAAGAGGAGGAGGAAGAGGAGAAGAATGGCGCCCCATCTCCTCGACTTCCTTCTTCCTCATGGTTTTCCAGGTATGAGAGTGATCCTCGGAATAATCTCGTGTTTGACAATGTAGATGGATGTGTAAGGAAAATGTTTCTATTCTTCGTTAACTAAGACCTCGAGGAAATTTTTACAAAGCTCACATTTGCAGTGCCTCAGAGAAGCGTTCTCTCAGCCGCTCCACCTTGAGCACCGACGAATGCTGTTTCCCAAAATATGTCCGGAAGTTGTCGATCAGTATCCTAAGATCGTGTGACACCGCCATCACGCTACGATAATAGTTGTTCTCCAGCCGCTCGCGAATCACGTCCATGGAGATTGGTAGCGCAATCCTGCATTGTTTGAAAACCTTTAGCTTCTTTCTCAATCGCAAGAGATTTTTCCAACTTGCCTGTCAAGAAAATCCGGCTTGCTCACGGCCTGCTGCAACCTCCACAAGCCATACTCGTCCTGCGAAAAGCAAAAGTTCGTCAAGCCAAAAGCAAAAGCAAAACCTTCCTCGAGTCTATGATCGATCGCACAAAAACAAACCTTGGATTGGTTCGAGTGGAGCACCTCGTCCACGATGTCGAGCAGCTCACGCACCTTGTCCTGCTCGATCTGTGGCGACTCCCAAGTTAAAGGATTCTCAACGTCGTGAAGCTCCCAGGGGCAGTGGTTCGTCGTCGATGGCTCGTCCTTGTACAGCACACTGATGCTGTCCCAGGGGCTGTTTGGAAACTCGGGCGACTTTGCCTTCACCTGAGTTATCGTCCCTTCCCACCAGCGACCACCTTCTTCCTCGTCCGACCTCCACCACACTTGGCACTTGTCCCGACTGGACCACTTCCTGGCCATGGAGGCCTCGTAGCGGCTTCTCTCCACTATAAAGTCGGCGAAGTCTGTCAGCTCCGGCAAGTCGACGCTGAAGCTGCTGCCGCGAATCCTGTACCCGTCCCTGAACTCGAGAGTCAGCCGGCAACAAGTGTTCCCCGACACTTCGAGAATGATGTACTCCAGTCCGGTGATCTCGCAGAACTCGACCGCTTGCAGTTCCCTTTTCACGCTTCTCCAGGGACCATTGTCGTCGAGCCGCTTGTTGTCTAAGTAGTCTTGATGTCCCTGCGATCGACAGTTTCAGTTCAAACATAATTCAAGACAAGCTCGTTGGATCTCTTACCTGTCGGAAGTACACCACCTCATCACCATACTGTGGGATGTAGCGCGTCCGCTCCACCTCTGTCAAGAGTAACCAGGACACGTTGCTCGGACTCCGATGCACCGTGCTCAGGTTTCTCCTCACGTGGAAATCCTTGTACCTCGACCCCACGTTCTTCTGCAGCTTCACTTTAAGTCTGCTTGAAGTTCTTCTTTCGGGCTTTCGGCGTCCATTGTCGTCGCTGCTTCTATCCCAGTCCGAGTCGTCGTAAGACGAGCTAGCTTCCCAGTGTGAGGGACGGCCGACGTTTCTCCTGCTTCTTGTGGACCTGCTGTTGGAGAGACTAACCACGCGACCCTGCGCCAGCCGTGTACTTCTCCTGCGGCCACCTGAAGCGTGCTCGTCGGCCTCATAACACTCGGTCTGAGTCGCAACTTTGCGAGGCCTTCTCCTTGAGTAGACGGCCTTGTTCATATTGCGCTTCATTTGTATATCGTCCACGTCCAGGTCCTCACTTGCCTGCTCTTCCTCGGGCTTGTAAGCATCCTCCAGCGACTCACTGTTACTTCCTGGTGAAACCTCTTCGTGGTAATCAGGGTCATTGTCACCATCTGGAGCTTCTCCATTCTGTAAGGACTCATTGCTCAGAAGAGTGTGATTCTGCTCTCGTCTCTGCTGTTCGTCAAGGTAGTCAGCTGAAAGAGACCTCTCCGACTCGGACTCGCTAATGATCGCCCTTGCCACCACCTTTGTGTCTCCATTTTCTACACGAGTCGCTTCAAGGCCTTTCTTGGTATCACAAGGAATGTCTACCAGTTTATCCTCGTCGGAGCTGCTGCTGCTGTGATAAGGCATGCGAGCACGCTTGGCTGCTTTCCCCTTCTTCCATATGTATCCCTGTTTGTCGTCAGACGAAACAGCTTCAGTGGGTTTCTCGTCCGCGATAAAACCATCTGTTTCTGGATGACTGTCATTAGCCTCGGCCACGGGGACCTTAGAAGTGCCTTGTTCTGGTATTTCGAGGCTCCGAAAAGTATCCTCGTTGTTGAACGTTTGTGCACAGTTTCTCAACTTGAGTACTAACTTTCGCTGAGACCTTGGCCGCCTGCATTCACCCACGTCCGAAGTCTCTGCGGGACTCTTCTTCGGAGGTTCATCGTCTTCAGGTTCCTGAGTTTCTGTAAGAACTTTCCCGTTGCGTAGAAGCCTCTGGTTCTCGTTCTCTCCAGATGTACCAGGTCTTTTGGCATCCTCAGCGGCCAGGCGGCGTGCTTCGTTGTCTTCATACTCATGTAAGCTCGAAAACATGGTCAACGCATTCCGAGCTGCCATCCTCATAGGCCTCAATGCATGGTCCGGGTTTGACTTTCTTATCCGCTTTCTAGACCTCAGCCTCTGCGTTTCCTCAGGCATCAAAAGAGCATTGTTTGACTCCTCCAAGCGCCTGCGCTTTTGCTTCCTCACCAAGGTTGCGAGTATCTGTAGTGGACAATCACCATTGAAGTTATCAGAGACGCAAAAGCTGGACGTACGTACCTCTCTCTTCTTTTTCCTTGTTCTTCGGTTACGAAGCCCATCAGAATCGATTTCGTCAATTTCTTTGTCGGTTGTTTCCGATTCACAGATCGTACCACTTTCTTCATTTCCATCCTCGTCACTCGAGCTTTCTTCGCTCGCGCAGTAATCAGAACCAGAATCGTCACTCAATCCAGTCACTTCTTCATCCCAGTCCATTGCCTCACCATCCGCCGGTTGTTCTACCCATCTGTTGCCTTGCTCGTTTGTTTGCTCGATTGCTTGTAGAGCGGCAACTACTGCTTGAGGCTGATCTTGAGGAATGAACGCTGGATCATCAAACGTTCCCACTGCGAGCTGAACTGATGGTGGTTGCCAGTAGCAACCTAGGAGTCCCAGACGACGTTGCTGGTACGAACTTTGATAAGGTTCTGGATAGGGAATCAAGCCTGAAAATGAAACAGAAAAATAAGTTGGACGAGGTGAGAAGTCACCAGCTTACTTGCATCGCACAAGAGATCTTGAAGATTCCTTTGATGAGGAGGCAACTGAGTTTCCTGTAAAAGAAAGATACTCAGTTTTTGCAAGAACAATACCGGAAAAGAACAACACTCAGGACTAAAACTAAATAAAAGCACTTACATCATTTTATTTACCTGATCGAGAACGTTTCCATGAGTATCTCGAACAAGAGGCCGATAATCTCCAAGAAAAAACTAAACAAAACCCGAAAAACAAACAAACAAAAAAAAGCTGTTAGGAGAAGGAGATGAAGCTAATCTTCCTGATACCTGGTCGTATTTCGCATCTTCGTCGTCTTGACTTGGTGGTGCTCCCGTAGAAAAAAGGTAGACCTGGCCGACCTCATCGGAAACAACCAATGAGGTTCCATCCCTGAAAATTGGCAAACATGAGAACAGTATATGGATATGAGAACAAGCTTACGGTGAAAAGTTGCCATCGACAAGATTATAATCTCCCGTCTCAAATGTCCTTACTGGACGGCCCTCCCAGATCTAAAACAAAATTCGTGATCATTTTTTTTGAGCGAATACACTTACATCCCACACAATAACTCGGCCATCATAGCCCGCACTCATTGCAATGCGAGGATTGCATGGATGTACATCTAGCACGTAAGTCTAAATAACAGATGTTAAGAAAGAATGGAATCAATAAATTCCATTTCAATACCTGCTTGGTATGGCCGGTTAAACAGTGCACCAGACTGCCATCAACCGCATTCCAGACACATATCCGGCAATCTGCACATCCATGTTATTCCATAAAATTAGTTCGTGAGGTATCTTACCCATAATCGCGGCGAGTACAAAACGATTGTCCAAACTCCAGACTATCATATTAACACCTCGAGGAGTCGGAAGCAGTTTTTGTCGAGGTCCACCAGTTCGAACGGGAGGCTGTGGCATCGGAGGGGGCGGTACTTTCAAATGATAAGCTTTCACCCACCGACCTAGCTTCAGCTGGAGGAAAGAGGAGCAGTCATGGCATTAGTTACACAGAAAGAAAGGCCATGCACACCTGTTTCCTAGGACGAGGAGACCAGATAATAGCAGTGCCGTCTCTTGAGCAAGTAACTATGCTATCTTGAGGAAACCTGAACAAAACCAATGTTAAAACCAGATAGCAATGAGCGGCACAGTATACCAGGTTGTTTTGAACTTCGGTATGTTGTCAGGGACGTTGTCATCCTTCAAAAAGTCGACGGGAGAAACTTTGATTGGCTCTGCACAACCACTGGAACAAAGGACGATTGATGTCAACGAGGACCAAGCCAAAGAGGCGAACCTGAACTGCACGTAGTTAACTACATTCTCGTGTCCACTAAGAATGTCATGCTCATGATTTGGCCTTCCGGTGTACTCGTCCGCCCACTTTCTTGCGTCCCAAACCTGTTCCAGCAATTGTTAGAAATATAAAAAGTCCACTTTAAATGCTTACCCTGGCAAGCTTGTCCGAACTCCCAGTGACAAAGTATGAGCCATCTGCATTAAACGCACAGCACTGAATCTGATTTGTAGCCTGTGCTCGATTCTCAGCTCCTGCAGCTGGAAACAAGCTTTTAGAAGACCAAAAAAACATCGGCAGACTCTTTACATTCGGGTTCGACATCCGGCTTCGGCATGTAGACACGTGAATTGACAGAAGAATCCCGAGCATCCCAAATACGGCATGTTCCGTCTTCAGACGAACTTGAAACCACGAGATTTTAATACAAGTATAGTGGAAAAACCAAATTATTAACACTTACGATAGAAGATGGTGCTCACAGCCCGGTCGAGGACTAAATTTGATGGCTGTTACGCCCGCCGTGTGGCCACGAAGTATTGCAACCGGAACACCATCTGGTAATCCCCACTAAAGGCAGAAGCGAAATAAATCAAAAGAAGAAACAAAAACACAACAAAGGAATACTTACAACACGGATGGAGGAATCGTTAGAAGCTGATGCAACTAGAGTGTTCGAACTACTTACAGACAAATCGGTTATATCCCCCTAAAAGCCAGGTTTTAAGCACAATATTCGAAACGGATGCAGAAAATAGTACCTCGTGTCCTCTACAGCTACGAAGGCAAAGTCTATTTTCTACGGACCATATCTTCACAAGCCGGTCGTCCGAGCCAGTGACAAGATACCGTCCAGTACGATCAAAAACGGCTGCACGTTTATCGCTTCGTTAATAGGTCTTGAAAATCAAAAAGAAAAGAAACACATACCACAATATACCGCATTACGATGACCCCTTAGCACCTGGATGATTCTTATTCTGTTCACCAGTACAGATGGCTTGATGATAACATGTTTCACAGTCCGTGTGGATGGCGGTCTGTGATGCTTTGCAAATCCACCACCAAGTTCACGGAACGCGAGAGCATGAACTTGGTCAGCTTGCCAATGCGGCCATCGCATTTGTTCTATTCTCTTGGTAGAGATACTAGTAGCATTGCTTTGCTCCGCTGTATGAAGTTTGCTCGGATCAGCAACGGCAAGATTCGAAAAGCACACGGCTTACATTCCAAAAGCGAGAATGCTCCTGACCCCAAAAGCGTAGGAACGTCCGCGGCGGTCAATTGCTTGGGAACTTTCGCATCAAGCAAGGACGCGGACTTGTCGTGAACAAGTAGTTGCTGCAAGAGCTTAACCAAGTGGTTGTTGTCAACGTTCTTATATCTGAAAATCGAAAAAAAAAAATCCATCCTTTTGTCAGCAAGACAAACCAAAAAAACAAAGAACTTGGCGACACACAATACCTCTCGGCAACTTGCGCGTAGCTGAGTGGGAACGACAAACCATCGTCATTCTCGTCGGCGGGGGGAGTCCCATTCCTGGAGAAGAATCCATGGTACCTCCGGGGCAAGAGCTTGTGCTGTAGGAGCTCGTTCCAGAGCTGGCCAGTGGCTCTCTCGCAAGGGCCGCTCCTCAGGAAATGCATGATAAGGAAATAAACCTCCCGGAGATCCACCTCGATCTCTTCGTCCACCTCTGTAGCTTCAGCTGGCAACGGCAATTTGCCGCTGCGCAGATCCCTGAGTGGAATCGGCGGAGGCATTGGCGGCGGCGGCAGCAGCGCCGGCGCGACGAGGGAGGAAGCGGCCACACGGACCGCATCTCCCTTGCACAGCATCCTAGAACATCGGGAGGAAGCAAGACAGAGAAATCGCTGGCAGGCGCGTTAGGGCGGATTGGATCTAAGCCCCGTCATAGCTGAATTGCCGCCGCCCCGCCAGTGAGGCGCGCCGCGAGCTTACCGCAATCGAGCTGTGGAGTCGCCTGCCAAATCTCTGCTCGCCCTTCCCCACAAACTCACAATAACCTAATTAGGTTTTTGCCCAAGAACCCTAATGCTTTTAGCCTTTACAAGCGTTTGTTCTAGTGTCTTCTTTGCTGTTGGTTCCTTCGTTGCCTTCCATCAATGGCGGCGAAAGGATTAGCACTGCTGTTGCTGAAACGCTGCTGCTGCTGCTGATGAGCAGCGTAAAAGCCATTCACTGCTGCTCCATGCTGCTGCTGCTGGAAGTAGTGCTGCTGCTGCTGGAATTGCTGGTTGTACTGCTGCTGCTGCTGCTGAACTTGCTGCTGCTGGATCTGGTGCTGCTGGAGTTGGAGCTGAGGATAGGACTGATGATGCAATCCTTGCTGCTGTGGCTGCTGCGGCTGCTGCTGTTGTTGCTGATGCTGCTGCGATTGGAGGTTGTAAGTGTATCTGTTGTTGTACCTGTTGTTCTGCTGATACGAATTAGCTTGGAACTGATGTTGGTTCTGCTGATGGTGTTGCTGCTGATGGTGATGGTGGTGATGTTGTTGCGTCGGCCCTCCTCGCTGTGGCAGTGAGTTCACGACCAGTCGACGAGCGGCGTCTCCAAGGGATTGCCCTGAGATGGATCCTGGAGGAGCAGGCCTGGAAGATAGCACAGTTCAGTCCCAAGTGGTTTTCATCTAGTTGTTTTGATACCTGTCGTGGTAGTTGTTCCTTCTCCCATGGTCTTCGTGCCACAAGGTTTCAGTTTTTATGTCTTGCTCCGTCACACTCTTTAAAAATCACACGGAAGAGTCAAGTTAGTAGAAAATCTAGCTCACGCATTTTCACAAAACCTGTTTTGGAGGGATTGCTCCTGGAGGAGGTCTCGTAACGTGCTTGTGATACGCAGGCAAGTGATATATAGCAGACCTGTCAAGTAAAAGTTAGTCCAATCATTCCAGAGAACGCTAGCAATCACTTACAAGACTTGGTTGTCAGTTATATTGGGCATTTCCGCAACAGGAGAGGTGAACATTGGAGGGCAGGCATCCCCGTTACAAAGACCAAAGAAGCCGTTCATCCCATCGCTGTAACACCACCAGGATAACATGTTAGCTGCTGTTAAAATAAATTAGCGACCACGACCTGGCACCAGGATCAATTGCTTCTCGGGCTTGACTGCGCTCAGGACCAGACAAGTGTCCATATTGATCGTAGAATGAGAATACAAAGGGCGCCAGAGTATGACTGCAAGAAACGAAGAGTATTTCCTCCAGCGTACTGTTACGCCGGGCTTCGGCCTCCTGCAGGCACACGATTAGCTTCTACAACGATCACAATATCTTGACTCACAGTTAAAGTCGGTTCGACTTTCCTTGTTTCGGCAAGGAGCCTGTCTTCATCAATAAAAGGTAGCTTCGCGACACCCTGCAATCCCGACAGTTTAACAAAAATAATTCCAGCAACACAAGAACAACTATTCACCTGCCATGCTGCTCGCTTGCCATTCATGTCGATCACAAAATCTGCAACGCTTGACTGTTAGCGAGAACTTACAAAATAGTTTAGCTACCATTTGGATAAAAGTCGATTATAGGCGATTCCTCGTCGCTCATAAGTGGCCTGTAGTGCTCCGGTAAGGCTTCCGAGCTGTAAAGGAACAAAATTTTTACAAATGCAGATGCGCATCAAAAGTGAAAAGATTAACCTTGCCGCTGGCAAAACGCCCATCAGCTGATCAAATGGTTTAAACGGCTCCCCCAACAGAAACGCTATTCTGATTGTAGACAGATCCTTCAAGTCGGACGCGAAAGGAGCGTAATGGTAAGGGTAGAACCTGCAATAAAATGGATTGCCCAATGAAAAGGTAAAAAAGAAAAATATGAAAAGCATCAGCGTACCATGTCCAAGAGCACACGCCTTGGTAGTAATACTGGAGAACCCAGCACAAGCCTTCAATATATTTTTGCACCTGAAAACAAAACAAGAAATATTACAGGCACAGCAGAGCAAAGTGATCATCATACCACTCCTTTCCGAACGTCGTCAACTGCTTCAGGTGTATAAGCTTCGAACTTGTCTGCATAGTATCTTTCTTTCCATCCGGCTTCGCCTAGTTTTACCTGGAAGACAACAGTAAGGAAAAAAGAAACACAAAAGAAGTCTTACCGTGTCAACTACTTGGTTAACCAGCTGGTCTGATTTCTCCCGAAGAGCATTCTTGACTTTAAGCTTCAGCTCCTCTGCATTTTCTTGCATATCATCCTCCTTGGTGGCAATCGCTGTTGTCTCATCTACTCGCAAGCGTTTGAGCGGTGGACTACCTTGACTGGAACTTGCACCCCTGAATCCCGGTGAACCTCTGTCCAAGTCTTTCCTAGATCCTGACATTGAGGCTTTGAGATTTTGTGCAGCTCGATGGTTACTCCGAAGCTTGTCATCGCGTGATTGAAAAGGAGAGGGTGCGGGCGCAGTTGCTAGACGTGAACCTCTGTTGCCGGTTATAGCTACTAAATCCGGCCGCACGCCCGGCTCCGCATCATCCCCACGCCTTCTTTGCTTTTGCCGGTCCGCTTGCCGCTGCAAGGAGAAATTTAAGTTTAAGCTCAGAACAAAGACAAACATACTTGATGTATACGCGCGCGCTTTTGAAAGATTGTGTCTTCATTCGCTCCAATTTTTTGAATGAAATACTCAACTCTAGAAAGATTCACCTGATGAATAAGAAAAAATTGTAAATCTACAAAACACACGACCGAAACAACTCACATCGCCGGCATCAGTGAGGTAGCCTCCCATCCGCGTGAACTCCCTTCTATAGATACTCATCAACAGAGTGATTGCTCCCTGTACAAACCGTTTAATATCGGACTCCAAATCCAGCAGCACTTACCTCTCGAATTTCAAGAGTTGGCATGTGAGGAAGAAAGTCATTCCCTACGAAGAAGCACATGAACACAAAATCGTCGACAATGCGTTCAAAATCGGGTTGAAATCCGGGAATTTGAAGGTCGTACTCCAAATATTCACGCAGCGTCCAGATTTGAAGAAACTGCAGTAGGTATTCAGTATAAAACGACTTGAAGGAAAAACAATACCTGATAAGGCTTCTTTACTACCGGTTCAGGATCTTCCCCATCTCCAAGTTTCCGTTTTGCCTTTCCCTCACAGTTGGCAGCCAAGTGTCCTACTTGTCCACAAATGAAACACTTATCCTGCTGGCCTGCTTGAAAGACAACCTGAACATGAAGAAGAATGTGCTTTAAAACATGAGGAACAGAATGGGAATAAAAACTTACCTCCCTAAGAATTGAGAAATGTAGCTCATGAGTCGCCAACGCAAGCATGATCAAGTCCGCATCCTGGAAATTTTCAAACAGCTATAAGGATAAATACGATCATTGATAGCTCTACCAGTCCATATAGACAATGGCGTGTGTTCGGGTCAAAACCGGGCAAATTCCTTTGAAGCCGTATGTAGGACATAATCTTGTGCTCTCCTTCTCCAGGAACATTTGCATCCGAGAGAATAACCTGGTTTGAAACCAACAATGATGTAAACATTGGATTTTTTCAGAAGAGAGCGAAAACACATACCTTCACGTTTTGCCATGCAGGATCGTTGTTAAGCCGAAGGTGCGTATAGTACTGCAAGGCCACAGCCAAGCTAGCCATGAAAGGCGTTCCCGGTGTGATAACGTTGGAGTCGTAAGCTTCACTCTTATCAGAGGGAGGAATTTTACGTCCCTCGGATTCAAACTCGAGCCTTAGCCTCTCTTCCTCGGCTGCCTGACACGAATTCCAAGCTCAAACTATGAACAAGAGAAGAAAACAACCACAGAGGGAGAGCTTACTTTGTCTGCGTTTTCCTTGGCAGTACGAAATCGCCGAGAGCGTTGCTGGTTCATTTTAGCTCTGGGAGCAACACCGTCTGATTCAACCCAATGAACAACGAAAGGACAAGGAAAAACAAGGAACAAGGGAGCTAAGACTATACCGATGGCCATGTAGAGCAATTTCCTGGGACGAACGATCGCGAAGAGCCTATCAATGTAATCAAAGATACACTGGAAGACCTCATCGAACGTAGTCGGCGACGGCTACAAAGCAAAGAGAATATTTTCATTCTAATCCATCGCTGAGCTGACCTAGACAAGGCAGGAAATCGAAATCGCGCTTACCCGATCCTCCGGATGGAAGCAGGGATGGATAATCCCGTTCATGTCGAGATAGAGATTGTCATACTCGACGCCATTCGGATTTGGCTTGGTGAGATCCACCGGAACCTCGACATCGCCGATCTGCTGAGCTTCCTCCTCGATGGCGTCCACGATGATGAGCGGGTACTTGTCGGCCAGCCATTTGTAGAATGCGGGAACTCCCATTGCCCCGCCCAAAAACCCTAACACTCACACGCAAGAGAGATGGACAAATTCCAAAATCTCCAAGAACCCTAAAACAGGGGAGCTCCTATAAAACACACAAACTGTACAGGGATGTCTCTAGAATTTCTCGAAGAAGGGTCGCAAATCCAGTTCCATGGTCCACGCGCTCTTGTCTTGGCAATGCAGCTGCCAGAAGCTATCGGCGACGGCATCTGGGTTTAGCCCAGTTTGATCATTGGCACTGCTCAAACGAAGAATTGGAGAAATCGTCAAATCCTTCTTTCGGGGCGGAGGATTTCTTACTTCTGCGACGAAGCGATCATACCATCGATGACAACGTGAGCGACGTGAATCCCCTGCGGCTGGTATTCTCTCGCCAGGCATTGCGCGAGACCTCGCAGGCCAAACTTACCGCAAGCTACAAGATCAAATCTAGGATCAAATCACAGATAGAGGCAGAAGATCCATACCAAGCTCTGCAAAACCAGCGCTTCCTCGCAGCGAAGCAGTGGCGCCAGTGAAGAGAATGCTTCCTTTTCTTCGCTCGACCATGCCTGGCAGCACCTACATTACAATCGCGACAAGGAAATCTTGAGCGCTAGCCCCTTTAAGAAAGATTCGCGAAGACGACGATCAAAGAAATAAAAAAGAAGAAGAACCTGTTGAGCACAGTAGAACGCGCCCATGATTGGCACCGTGATGGATCGCTCGAAGGACTCGGGCTTGACGTCCGTGAACTTGGGAGGCGGCCATGGAAATGGAGTGTTGGTATTAAAGACCTGGGAGGAAGAACACGCAAGAAAAGTATCAATCAAAATCAATCAAGTCTAGCGAAAGAATTCTTGGAAAGCTGCTGGATCGGTTGCGAGGAAGGATACGTCACACTGCTCTTACCAAAGTCTCCACCGCGCCGAGCGAGTGGACGGCCTCGAATGCCTCCTTGACGGACTTGCCATCGGCGCAATCGATTCGAATCGCCGCGACCTGCGCCTTGGCCTCCTTCTCCACGATCTCCTCGGCCAATTTCATGAGCTTCTCTGGATCACAGACACAGATCTGATCATCGTCCCGGCGGCGCTGCGCGGCAAATCGATTGGATTCACAGACCTAGGTTCCGGGAGAGAATGGCGACGATGTAGCCCTCGCGAGCAAACCTCCGCGCGATTGAGAGGCCCAGGCCAGGCCCGACGCCCACCACCGCAGTGACGCGCCGCGCGATCTCTCCTCGCATTCTTCTCTGCCGCGAAGCAAAGCTTTAGGCAAGAACTCGAGAGGAGCACGAGAGACCTCCCCCGGCAGAGATGCGTACCTCCGTATACATGAGATCTCTTTCAAGGTAAGATGCTCTGGAATATTCTGTTCTTAACCTAGCGCCATTAAACCAATAAACCTAAACCTTTAAACCCTAAAGCCCCTTCCTTTTATCCCCTTAAGCGCGAGCTATGGCCGCTGTGGCGCGCCCGCCATTGCTCTTGGATTTGCAGGGCGATCGCGCCGCCAGGGGGAGGAAGAGTGGTGCCAGGCATGGGATTACGGTGAGGGCGGCGGTGGCGAGCACAGATGTGGCGGTCATCCGGATTGGAACGCGCGGAAGGTCAGTCAGTGGATTTCTCTCTTCCGGATCCGTGCGCTGAGGGGAATGCTGTGGAAATCCCTGCGAATGCAGCCCGCTGGCGCTGGCACAGGCGTACCAGACGCGAGATCTGCTCAAGGGCGCGCATCCGGAGCTCGCCGAGGATGGCGCGCTGGAAATCGTGATTATCAAGACGACCGGGGATAAGATTCTCAACCAGCCACTCGCGGACATTGGTGGGAAGGGACTCTTCACCAAAGAGATTGACGATGCGCTGCTCGACAACAGGATCGACATTGCGGTTCACTCGATGAAGGATGTGCCGACGTATCTCCCGCAAGGGACCATTCTTCCTTGCAACCTGCGAAGGGAGGACGCTAGAGATGCTTTCATCAGTCTCAAAGCAAAGTCGCTGGCTGAATTGCCGCCGGGAAGCGTCGTCGGGACTGCATCGCTGCGAAGAAAGTCGCAAATTCTCAAGAGGTATCCTCATCTCCAGGTGAGATAGCTGTTCTCGTGCTTGTTTTTCTTTCTTTCTTCCTTTGCTTGTTTGTGCTTTCCTTGTGTTTGTTTGTATTACCTTTGCTTTATCCTTTCTTCTTTCGTGCTTGATGCCAAGATGGTTTGATCCCGATTCTGTCCTATTGCTTTTTGTGCCTGATCAAAATGGGATTTGTCTTTCCACCCAGGTTGACACGAACTTTAGAGGCAACGTCCAAACCCGGCTTAAGAAGCTCCAAGAGGGAATCGTGACTGCGACGCTCTTGGCATTGGCTGGCCTCAAGCGCTTGAACATGACGGAGCACGTCACTGGTGTGCTTCCCATGGACGAGATGCTTCCGGCCATTGCGCAGGGAGCCATTGGAATTGCTTGCAGACAAGGCGATGAGAAAATGGTATTCGCTTCTTTGTTTTCTCTCGAGTGTGACTCTGTTTTGTCTGTCGATGCAGGAGAGATATCTGGCTTCACTCAACCACGAAGAGACGAGACTGGCCGTTTCGTGCGAGAGAGCCTTTCTGGAAATGCTGGACGGCTCATGCCGGACTCCAATTGCTGGATACGCACACAGGGACAAGCTCACGGACGAGTGCAAGTTCCGGGGACTCGTTGCATCACCTGACGGCACCCAAGGTTTGCTTTTGCTTTTTGTGCAAAGATCATCCTTTGTAACTGGTTGAAACTCAGTGCTGGAGACAACTCGGAGTGGGCAATACAATTTTGACGAGATGGTGGCCATGGGGAAAGACGCTGCCAAAGAGCTGCTTTCGAAATCAGGCCCCTCGCTTCTTAACTGGTCTTGAAGTCTGGTTTCCATCTATGCACTTCGTTTCGAAGAACCAGTGATGGACCGAGGAAGTGATTCTATTGACAAGAGGTGTAAATTATATGCAAGTTTTGTGCTGCCACTTACATTATCAAGACTCACACGGAATCTTGTCCAAAGCTGAGTGTTTTCTTGTACGGTCAGTCCTCCTTTGAGAAAGATAAGTTTTAAAAGTTAGATTGGCGATCATGAAGCGCTCAAACAAGAGGATAGAGTCCATCACCCAAGATGATACTTTGGAGATGATTACATTTAAGAATTGAGGGAATGAAGGATTTTTGCAAATAAGAAATCCTAGAGATTCTAGTAGGGATAACATGCTTGATGAGAGGGGCAACATGATTTCATAGTAGTGAATGCAAGGAAAAGAACTAGAGAGTGGAAATAAAATAAAGCTAGCAAAAGCAAACTAGATTGTTTGGGAGAAAGGTAGCTTGGTTGAAGAGAAAAATTAAAGTAATATGGTAAGGAAACCAAGAAAAGGACATCAAAGTGAGTTCAGGGAGCAACAAGCAATGGATTTTGTCTTGTGTGCTTAGTGCACAATGCTTTCTCTTGGAGTTGTTCTTGGGGTAAATTGCAATCAAACTGTGGTCAATCTTAGTCGTGCATGATGCGTGGGTTAGCTGGGAGATTGCAATCAGCAAGAAAAAACTTGTGCAAGCAGTGAAGCATACTTCGCTGGGACTCGATGCTCTCCATGGAGCCGAGCTCGTTTCACAGGGACTTGGAATGGAGCAATGTAATCTCTAAAGGTCTGGGTGATCCAGGGATTTCCAGAGTGTGTTTGGAAATTAGTTCATGTTATAGAAGGCCTGGCGGTGGATCGCAAGGGGTGGAATTCAAGAGCAAGCTTGACATGTTTCTGCAAAGGATGCATTACACTAATAGTCTTAAATAAGAAATATGGTTTTCTCTTCAAAAGATTGAAGGATGCTGCTTCTTTCTTCAAGTAAATTAGTCTACACTATGATTCTCTCCTGTTTCTCAGTGATCGCTGAAAAATCTGATCGGTACAAGTAAACTGAGATTTCTTTCTTTTTTGTTTTCTTCGTTATAAAAATGTCTTTTTCGTTTCGTTTTTCTTTTCCCTTTAGTTTGCTCTGAGCTTTCAAAGGACTGGCTCAAGCCCGTGCTTAAGTGCCGCTTCCCACACTAGATCAATGTGATCGATGTCAATGCTGCCAACTTCGTGATGCGTCCAATTCTCCAGCGCATGAACGAGACCGCCGGCGTGACACGCAGCAACCACCCCCCTGTCAAACGTATACTGCAAAAAAGCGCAGCAGAGCCACCAACACAGAAAGAAGTGAGGAATCAAAGCGGCGGAGATGTCATCGAGCAACCAACCTCGCAACTGTGCACGCCCTCTACGCTCTGTGGCAGCTTCATCCCTGCCAGCTTTCCATACGTGCAGTCTTTCCTGTACTCGTGAACAGGAGGTACCACAAATTGATGAAAGTGGCTCCCATGCGGAGCCCAGCTCTGATCCTGGCTCGTCGCCCATTTGCCAACGATCCATGTCTGCGGGGAAAACGAACAAAGAAAAGCCTTTCTTCATCTGAAAAGAGGAAAACGAAGGGAAACTGTCACCTTGCACGTCTGACCGGCTTGGTACTTGGTCACTTGCACAAGATTATGTCGGCAGTCCGCCGGAGCTTCGTCCACTATGGACTGGTATCGCTCTCTCGAAGTGGTAAGCATCTGGAAAAGAACCTGGAGTGAGAAAGAAAGAAAAACCTGTGTGTGAAAGTACAATGGTACCATGATGCGGACGTTCCTCCTGCAGAGATAGAGCGCAATTGCGCGGCCGATCTTGGATGTAGATCCGGTCAGAAAGACTTCGCTCGTCTCGGCTGGGAGCTCCCGCAAGACGAGCGCAGCTGTGAGTGTGTTCCCATGGACAACACGGACTTTGAGATTCGGGTGCTTTTTCACGAACAGCAGGCCGCCACCATTGAGCGATTCATTCTGCAGAAAGCACGGGAAGTAGAAAACAAGAGCGCAGGAGATTTAGATGCTCACCTTGTTTAATGCAGCCAGGCTGATAACTTTGACGCCAAGCTCGTCCGCGTCCAGGATGGCTCGTTCGATGTGCCTGTTGATGCCAGCAGCACAAGCAGGAATAAAGTACTGATCCAAGAGAGTGTTAGCAACGCGAAATCCCACCACAAAGTTTCTGTCTAGCTTACATGGAATCCATATCTCGGAACCACCCAGCTCTGTGCATGTAGCCCGTCGAGAAGATACTTTGTTGCCACAAAAGTTTTTCCCCATATCCATACACAGAAGCAGGAGACTAAGCCGATTGGGAAAACGAGCCAAGCGTACCACTCGCCTCTAAAAGGGACGCTCGAAGCGGTCCGGCCACTAAAAGCAACGTGCAGCGAGGACAATATGTCAATGCAATGGACCAGGAAAACGAACTGCGGGACAGCTTCTCGTCCTGGAAGCAAGTAGTGACGATAATGACAAAAAACTTCCAGGCGTACATACCATCTTTCCTGATCGATCTGTAAAACGCGTGAGTGTTTGGATGTTGCGTGCCACCTAAATAATCGTACAGCGGCATGAATAAACAAAAATTGGATTTGAGATCCAAATGGTGAAGAGAATGGTAGCTGCGATCAAAAGAAAAAACCAAACAAGTTTATTCTAGGTACTTATAAGAAAAAAGAACTTACGATGGTGTGTAAATCAGATACTTGAGCAACGGAAGCTTCTGAAAAGCCCACAAAGGTACGATCTCGCAGTTGAAATGTCCCAAGTATTTGAAGAAGTCAAAAGCCAGGGGATACACGTAGAAGAGAGCTAGACAGCTTCCGCCTAGAAAACACGACGCAAAAATGGGTACAGACATCAAAACCGTCTGGAGAAGGGCCTCTAGGAAAGTGTGAGTAAAAGCTGCACGTCAATCACACGGAAAAATCAGCTCAGAGAACAAAGAAGAAAATCGGACTGTACTTAACCCGTTGCTGGCTCGGGTGCAGTAGAAGCATGGTGATAAGAATGAAAAGAACGAAACAAAGATTTCGTGTGGAAGGCCCGATGAAGCCAGTAGTAACCAGACTCGGTGACCCCGGCGTGGAAAGCGATCAGGTAGACGAGACCGCGAAGATTCCAAATGGAAAACCCGCTGATGTCATTGGGTCCAAGTGCGTAAGCCAGCAACGAGTGCAGGATAATTCCATTGTCGCTGAAAGAAGAAAAGACAATGCCATGAGATGGACAAAAACAAAAGGGAGAACGAAAGTTACCAGTCAAATTCTCGATCGACTTGCTCGTAAGTGAGAGCATAAGATATGATCTGATGGTGTTTCACCACGGCGTGTAGACGAGCGAAGCTGGACCAAGCCTGGTACAGCGTGTAGCGAAGAGCAGCGATGACGAGAATGTGGAAGCACCAGTTGTCGCGGGGGCTCGTCCCCAAATAGTGAGAATGAGCAGCGCTCAAGAATATCGGTAGAAACAAGTGATACTGCAAAACAAGAAAATTGAAAACCAACAAGGCCAGGCAGTCAGCAAAAGACTGGAGCCAGAAAAGAAAGAATAGAAGAAAAAAAAGGATTTTGTATTCACCTTGTAAGTGCCCATCCGCTGCCATGGCCAGCAGCCCAGTATCTTGCTCTCCTCCATCCCTGCAGAGCCACCAAAAACGAAGAACAAGACCAACTAAACACAGAGACAAGGAAGTAGAAGAGAGGAACTCCGAAGGCGAAGAGAAGAAGAACAAGAAGAAGATGATGTGAGACGAACAAGAGAGCAGGAAAAACGAAGAAAAAAAGAACGCACTGACGGTGTGAGACGAGAGGACGAACAAGGCATCACCGCCCTGTAAAAGAATATGCTCTCCGGCAGTGAGGTGCGCGGTCACATGTCCGGTTTAAATGCTACGACCAAAACACCAAACTCGGACAACCGGTTTGGTGAACCCGAGATCGAATAAACGAGACTCATTCTCGCTTTTAAGGTGGCTACCTTCAATCAATCAAGTTCTCGCTGCAAACAAGTGTCTGAATTCGTAAAGAACTATGTGACACAAACCTTTTCTAGCTTGTGACTTTGCTCTCCTACATGGCTAGCTCCGGGCCCCTTGTAAAAGATTTGAAAATGACGGGGATGGGCGATTGCGCATTTCCTCCTGTATCTTTTTCATTTCCTCCGGATCTGCGAGCACCACGACTCAGCCAAAGGAGGAGAAGCGAAAAATCAAGAACAAAAAGAGAACCAACAACTACAACGAAAGGAGGGAAAAGAGAAACGTAATTGCTTACCTATGTTGTCCATAAGTTTGGGAAGGACGACAACGGCGATCAGCATAAAAGCCACCATCAATCCCATGGGACTCTTCAACAAGCCAAGGACTGAAAACGGCTCACGCTTCTGAAACGAAACAAACTTATGTATCTTGAACAGCAACAGCAAGAAAGGATGATCACCTCGAAGTATTGCTCCTGTCTCATTGGCTCGAGCACCAAGTTACCGGAGAGAACTCTTCCGGTCTCGACCAGACTTGCTCTCACTTGCCCGTGCAGTCTTGCACTCACGTCAACCCGGAGCTGCACGAAGAAAGAATTTGTAAAGGAAAAAAATTTCGAGACTCGACTGTAAATGTACCGGTGAAAAAAAAAATCCAGGCGCAGAGACTTCGATCAGATGTGTGCCTGCCGGAATCCCTTGACTAAATAAACGAAACCATGTTTTTCGAATAAGACATCACACAAGCATAGAAAGAATGAAATAAAACTAACAAGCTACTTACAAAGCGAAATAGCCATTCTTGAGTGGGAAAGTGATTTTCTCCCCTCCATTCAGCAAGAGCTTGACACTGGCAGGCTTCAATTGAAGATCTAGCGAATAAGAAGAGCAAAACTAGCAAATCGAAACGAAGAGAGGACGAATCCATCATACCTTGCAATCTGATCGTCCCGTCAATCACATATCTCTCCTCGCCCCTGCGCTAGATCGCATCAGCCAGCAGAAAAGGAGCTGTGAGATCCGAAATCGCTCACCTGGCCGCGAAGAACCCAATCGCGAACACGCACAGCGCCAGAAAGACCGCCATCGCCATTAGGGCACGAAAAACAAAGGAATATCCTTTAGTCTAGCAAAAAGGATTATAAAGGGTCGTTGAAATTAATATTATCTTTAAGGTTTAGGGTTGAAGCCAACGAATGAAGCGCTCAAACAAGAGGATCGAGTCCATCACCCAGGATGATACTTTGGAGATGATTTTGAGCTTTGTGGACCTGGCCACACTATCGAATTGCTTGGTTGTTTGCAAGTCATGGAACTCCATCATCAACTCACACACCTTTCGCCACCTGTGGTGCTGCAACGCTGGTGTCAAAGAGACACCCCAGATCCTGACAAGCGTCCCCGGCTCCGAGTACACGAGCTGGTGCTTGTACGCCTTTGGAGAGTCGGGCCACAGGCGAGAGCTCAAGCTACCCCCATTGCGGAAGCCCTATACTTTTGCTAGAATCAAGGCTTCCGCTGGCGGCCTTCTATGCGCCTTCTGCTTGCCACCACAAGCACGTCCAAAGTACCATTTCCTGGTGGGCAATCCACTCACCTGCGAGTGGATGGAGATACCAGCGCTGCAGTGGAAGGACGCAGAAGAAGCGACCATGGACTTTGCGATGTTTGTGGACGATGCCAGTGGTTTCTTCAAGCTGGGCGTTCACTGTGCTGCTGCAACGGGGCACACTGGCTACGTATACGACTCAGCCACTCAAGCGTGGTCGGCATTGGGTATGCTGCACTTCTCGCAAGCTTACATCAAAGTGAGGACCAAGAGGGAGGAGCTCTGCAACATGAACCTTATACCCACATTTCCAGAAATGGACGACTTCTACTACGACATCACTACCCTGGGCATGTATGACATCCAACGTTGTGAGTGGAGTGTCGGGAGTGTGGTGCGCAACCTCAAGTTCACAACGGGCTGCGAAGGGCAATTCGAGGCTGGCAAAGGGGAATTCGACAGCCATGTGTGCTGTGTTTTGCCGCAGCCAGGCTTGTCCACATCGAGGCTGTGGGAGTACAATGGCCAGCGATACTTTGCAAGTGCCTGGGTGTATGCAGGGGTTACCTGTGACAGAGATGATGGAGTAGATGGTTTTGGCGTGTGGACAGTTGAGAACAATGGAAGCTTGGTTGCAGTTTCCGCTGTGCGTGTAACCTACACTATAAAGGATCCTAAACGTCAGTATTATATGCTTCAAGTGATGACAGCCGCCGATGGCAACCTTGTCTGCTTCTCAGACGACGCTCCAGTTGTGGTTTACAACCTGAACACGGACAAATGGTGCGAGATAGAGCCACCCCAGCTCACAGATCGTTTCAATGAAACGGTGGTTTATCGACCGTCTTTGAGGCGTGTGGCATGAACACCAATTCTGACGCAAGTTTGCTTTTATTTGAGACCGATTCTAAAGGCGGTCAAATGATATAGTGAATGAGGAGATGGTTTTAGTGTTTTTGGGTTCTAGTGCCAGGGCTCGCCACGCTTCCTGTGCTAGCAGCAGCAGCAGCGGTGGCATTGGGATGATTGAGCGCTCTCTTCACGGATGTATTTGGAGTTTTTGTTTTGGGGAAAAAGTCTTTGCTGCCTTTCTGACAAACGTGACCTCTAATGTTGTACCGTCACCCCGGTATTAACGTCAGGAACAAGCTTCTCGCTTCTTTGCCGCCTCGAAGTCATGGCGCTCTTTTGAAGTAAGAAAATATTAAACTTTTCACAAATCCCCTGGGTCAAAGAAATAATCCTGGCTTCTTGAAATGCTGACAGTCCCATGTTTTTATCTGCCCCTTCGCCCGCAAGCTTTGGAAGCGAGAATTTACAAACTACAGTTCGAGACAATCTTACATCGTTCTCGACTCTGACCGTATCCGTGTGTAGAGTTTGACAGACAGTAGCAGGTAAGGAACATTGTCTCATGTAGTCGCGGTTAAGACTCAGAGTGTCTCGCGAACATGGTAGCTCAGAGTTGACGCAGTTCATTGGTACAAGCTCGGATTCGTGTACCAACTAGACGTTGTGAATTAAGGCGATGAATGAACGTGTTGCCTAGCAACTGCCTTCAACTCGACCAAGAGCAGCGTTTGGTCGTCGTTCTTAGAAGACGCTAAGATCTTGTAGACGACCTGCTTCAGTTATTCGTAGTCTCTGACCTGCAACGCCTTCCGAATCTGTCCACAACTAATTGTCTATGCTGTTTTTATCCACTCCATCAGAAACAAGATTAAGGAGGAAGTCGCAGCCTTTGGAGATTTCAAAGTTGACAATGTCCGGAACAGCACTCACAGCTTGTTCTTCTCGACTCAGCTGCAGATTGCTCTTGAACGACCAATCTCCAATGCTGCGGGTCACCATGAGCGAATCTGCATCGTCTTCTTTGCCAGCCACAGTTATGCGTCTCGCCACCCGCCTTGACGATAGCTCCCCAGGACACTTGCAGTCATGCTCCTGGCTGATATCCATTACGTAACCATAAGCATCGCCAACATTGCCAACAAAGACCTGGTCGTCATCAGTAACCAGAGGCACGGTCGCTGTACTCCCACAGCAGTCAGCATCTGGAGCCCGTGAATCTGCCTCGATGCAGCCTCCTTGCATAGTTGCCATCCCGGAAAGCCTGATTGCATCCTGCTCATGCTGCCAGCGAAGCGTGCCACTTGATCGCTGCCGTATATCAACCAGACCTTGCCCCCGGCGCAGTAAGCTTCTCCATTGTGAATGTTTTGGAAATAGTTACCCTGGGCATTTTTGTAAGTCTTAAAAAAACCTTTAAAGTTCAAAGAAAAATCCTTTTGGGTTTATAACTTTTGGATCCTAAGCCTTCAAGCAAAGGGATGGAGTCCATCACCCAGGATGATACTTTGGAGAGGATTTTGAGCTTTGTGGACCTGGCAACGCTGTCGAGTTGCTTGGTCGTTTGCAAGTCATGGAAGTCCATCATCAAGTCGCACACCTTTCGCCACCTGTGGTGCCGCAACGCTGGTGTCAGAGCGGCCCCCCGGATCATGACAAGCTCCTTTGGGCACGAGCGCTGCTATGCGTTTGGAGCGTTGGGTAACAGGCGAGAGCTCAAGCTACCCCCAGTGCAGGAATCCTTTGCTTTTGCTAAGGTCGTGGCTTCTGCTGGCGGCCTTGTATGCCTCCACTGCGTGCCCCGTGTTTTTGTACCACCACAAGCGCTCGAGTACTATTTCCTGGTCGGTAATCCACTCACCTGGGAATGGACGGAGATACCAGCGCTGCAGTGGAAGCACACAGAAGAAGCAGCGACCATCAACGACTTTGCGATGTTTGTGGACGATGGCAGTGGTTTCTTCAAGCTGGGCGTGCACCACTCGGGCGCTGCTGCAATGGGCCACACTGGCTACGTGTACGACTCGGCCACTCGAGTGTGGTCGGCACTAGGCATGCTGCACTTCTCGCAAGCTCACGTCAAAGAGAGAACCAAGAAAGCGGAGCTGCTCAACATGAACCTTGGGAGTAACACCCCCACATTCCCAGGCATGGACGACTTCTATTACGACCTCACCACTTTGGGTATGTATGACATCAGACGCTGTGAGTGGAGCAATGGGAGTATAGTGCGCAGCCTCAGGTTCACAACAGGCCTCAAAAGAAAATTCCACTGCGTTTTGCCACAGCCGGGATGGTGCACGTCAAGGCTATGGGAGTACAATGGTCAGCAATACTTTGCAAGCGCCTGGGTGTATGCAGGAAATTATAAAGGAGTGAATGGTTTTGGTGTGTGGAGAGTTGACAACAATGGCAGCTTGGTTACAGTTTCTGTTGTGCCTATAATCAGCATTCTAAAGAAGGGATTATATCGTTGTATCTTTCAAGTGAAGACTGCTGCCGATGGCAATCTTGTTTGCTTCTCGGAGGAGAGTCCAGTTGTGGTTTACGACCTGAACGCAAACACTTGGAGCCAGATACCTGCCGAGCTCATGGATGATTACAGTGGAGCGGTAGTTTATCGACCGTCTCTGAGGGCTGTGACATGAATCCGAATCACCAGGAATAGTTCTTGGTTTGCTTTTATTTGAGACCAAATTTATGGTCAAATGAGATCGAGTAAAGTTGATGTCGATTAAGAAAAATGCCAAGGGTTTTAGGGTTCTAGAGGAATGGGGTGAGAGGAAATGGCCGCATTCGCCAGGATCGTCGCTGCCCGCCACGGCCATCGCTTCCTGTGCTCGCTGGTGGAGAGCAGCAGCAGCAGTAGCGGCTGCGGCGGCGGCGGCATTGGGATCATCAGCGGCAGTAGCGGCAGCGCTCTCTCCACCGATGTGGCCTCCAAATGCGACTACGTCAAGGCGCTGTATGGATTCACGTATGGCGCCGGTGCCGCATGGTCCTCTTCCTCGTCGCCCTCGCGCCCTTCACCTTCCGATTGCCGCATCCGCCAGGCCGTGGCAATGGCGCTGCAAAACTATCTCCACTTCCGGCGTGGAGTGCCGCTGGACGACGCCGTCTTCATCAGCACTGGTGCTCCAAACTACATCAATTCCGTGGTGCAGCGCTTGCGAGGTGGTGGCGATCAGCAGCAGCAGCAGCAGCAAGAGCGCAGCTACGATCAGGTGAGGACGTGGGTGGAAGCAGTGATGCAAAAGGAAGGTGTGGATGAGATGGAGCCTTTCCTGGAGAGCATTGGCATGGCTAGCGCCAATGACTCCCTGATCTTTCCTCGCGTGGATCTCTGTGGAGACATGGGACTGCTCCGCACTGCCAAGGCCATGGAAGGCAAAGGCATTCCCAAGAGGAACTTCTGGCACTTGCTCAAGAGGAACAGGCAAATTCTCCACTACAGTCTGAGAGACTGCTTGGACACGGTCGGGATCCTCTCCGAGCTCGGGTTAGGCCCCAGGGAGCTGGGAGAGGCCGTGTACCATTGTCCCTGGGTTTTCCGCGTGGAGCTGGAAGAGGAGCTGAGACCGGTGATCCAGCAGCTAGAGAGACTCGGTGTCGCGAAGACGGTGATTGGCAAGATCATCACGGATGCTCCCACGCGGGTGGAGGTTCTGAGCCAGGTGAATGCCGAGGCGCTGGTGGTGGCGATCCAGGAGCAAGTTGGCGCGTCCAAGGAGGCGGCGATCAAGATGGTGCGCGATGATCCGGCTGTTCTGGTCGGCTGTAACATCGCAAAGTTGACGCAGATTGTGAAGTACTTCAAGACGGTGCTGCTGCTGGAGGACGACGAGTTGCTCTCGCTGGTGACCAGGTTTCCTCGCTTGCTGGTGCTCAACCTGGACAAGAGCGTCATCAACAAGGTGGAGTATCTCAAGGGAATCGGCGTCCAGCGCGCTCACGCCAAGAGGATCGTACTCAAGAATCCCCGGGTGCTGGCTTACAGCCTCGAGAGCAACATCATCCCCAAGGTGGAGTTTCTGGACGGCCTCGGTTTTCGTCGCAAGAGCCTTGGTGCTCTGCTGTGCAAATGCCCGCAGCTGCTGAGCGACATGGTAAGCACTTGCCTCCGTCGCAAGGCCAACTTCTTGCTCTTCCTGGGAGTGAAGTCGTCGCAGCTGGCGGACATCATGTACGTGTATCCGGAGTTCATGGGACTCAAGCTCGATGAAGTCAAAACCCGGCTTGCGTTCTACAAGAGCCTTCGGGTGGAGCAGCACGACTTGGCTACCATGCTCACCAAGCATCCGGCCATCATGAACTACGACATCAACACGCAAGTGAAGCCCGTGATCGAGTATTTCAAGTCGAGCTTGGGCTTCACCACCCGGGGACTGGCAGCGTTCCTCCGTCGACGGCCGTCGGTGCTGGGCGAGAGCGTTGAGTTCGTGGACGAGAAAGTCAAGTACTTCGAGGAGCTGGGATTCCGGAGGCACAGCGATGCCTTCAACGAGATACTCGTCTATGCGATGGCCGTTCCCATCGGTTTCATAGAATCTCGGCTGGAGCGGCTGAGGCGATTGGGAATCACGGAGAAGCAACTCAAGACGCTGGTCCAGGTCCGGATGCCGCTGCTGTACAGGGATGACCAGCGCGTGATGGCCACCACTGAGTATCTGCTCAAGGACATGCAGCTCGACATGGACGAGCTGCTCAAGTTCCCGCAGTTTTTCGGCTACGACTTGGAGGACAGGGTGAAGCCGCGGCACAGGCTGGTTGCATGGCTCAAAGCCAAGCACATCATCAAGCAGGACTACCCGCCTTGCTACCTGCATATGCGCCGCCAAGTGTTCGAGGACATGTTTCTGGATTGCCACCCCGAGGCACGGGATATCTTCAGGGGCTACAAGGAACTTGTGGCGACGACATAAAAAGCCACAACAAAAACAAAGCTCGTCTTTGCTACTAAACAGAGACGAGTCGAGGCTGAGCGAAAGAGACAGTCGAGTGGATTGAGCTCTCAGAGTTTCGTCCATGGCTGCTGCTTGGCTCGCGGTGGCTCCTCTTCCGGTGGTATCGCGTCTGCTTACGACGAAGCCGCGCTTGAAGCTGCTGCTGCTAGCGTCTCCAACACTGGACAAGAAGCTACATTCGCCTGGCAAGTCATGGCGAGGGACCTGCGCTCTCTTCGGTATGGATTGCTTCTTGGGCTGTGCGTGAATTCATTAACTTCGGCAGGGGGCGATGGAGGAAGCAGCAGCAAGGAGAAGAGAAAGTTCATAACCAAGGAAGAGGAACCGGAAGAGTGAGTGATTTCCTTTTGGATTCTTGCAAAGAAGTGAGAGTGTTTTTGCTTTGATCGATCTCTATAGGTACTGGCAATCGGCCGCCGAGCGTGAAGGTAGAGGGCCAATGTCGACGCTGTTGCCATACATCGTCATATTTGGCTTCTCCACTCCCTTCGTTATCCTGGCGCTGGGATTTGCCAATGGCTGGATCAAAATCCCTGTGAGGTGATAGTTAACAAAGTAATGGGTGTTTAATTAAAACAAAACTTTCACTATATAAAAGCCCTTAGCAGGGTTTAGGTTAGGGCAGTGGCAGAGCAATGGGCGTCCGGGAAGGTATGTAGCAGCGCGCTCCTTCTTTCTTCCTCCTCTCTTTGGTCTCCTAGAGCCGCTGGGGTGTGTGTAGACGATGATTACGAGCGGGACGACGAGGGAGAAGAAGAAGAAGAGGAAGCGCCCGAGAGATTGGACGATGATGACGAAGACGAGGAAGGTAGGTGATTTGCGGCTTGCATTTTCGGGTTTTGGTTCAATTCTCGGAGAAATTCGCAGAGGGACAGGATGAATACGAGAAGGATGATTTTATAATCGATGGAGATGAGGAAGAGGAAGAGGAACCGGAGGAAGCAGAGGATGATGCCCGGCAAGCGACTGACGAGGAAGAGCGAGTCAAGAAGAAGAAACGAAAGAAGAGGTTTGAGTTTGCTTTGTGTCTTCGAATGTAGTTTTCAAGCCGTGCTTGTGCCTCTAGAGAGCACAATGATCAACTGGATGAAGACGATTACGATCTCCTGGAGGAGGCAAGCGTCCGGTTTAAGAGGCCTTCCCAGTCGGTGTGTTTGCGAGTTTTTTTTTTTTCTCTTTGCTTGTTTGTTGATGAAGGCTTTTTGGCAGGAAAATAAAAAGTTTAAGAGACTTAAGAAAGCGAGAACAGAGGGAGGTGCTGTCGGCCTTTCTGATGAAGAGGAGGACGAGGAAGGAGGAAGGCGAGGGCGCACAGCTGAAGAGGCCCTTAAATACACGCTTTTTGGTGATGATGAAGGTAGAGCTTTTATGCGTTACACATGTTCCTGTGAACTTAGGGGGTGCTTGGTCAGGTGTCGCTCCTGAAGATGTTGCTGAAGAAGAGCAAGGGGAGGATGACCTCGGCGAAGAGGACGAAATGGCTGACTTTATCGTTGATGAAGACGAGACAGACGAGAATGGCCAGCTTGTGAGGTCTGCTTACGCCTTTGAAGTGCTAGCAAGGTTTTAACATCGTGTGTACAGAACTAAGAGGCCCAAAAAGAAGAAGTATTCCCGGCAAGCACCAGGAATATCATCAAGTGCCCTTCAGGAGGCTCAGGAAATTTTTGGTGATGTGTCGCAACTGCTGGAGGACCGGCGCATACGTGTTTCCGAAGCAGAAAGAGAAGAAGGTGCTCATGACGAGGATGATGCTGGTCGAGGAAGACTTGCGAAGGAATTTGAACCGAGTGTTTTGGAAGAGAAGTACATGACAGAAAATGATGACCGAATTCGTGAAACGGACATTGCTGAAAGGCTTCAGGTAACATTCTCTTCGAAGTTTCCAGTTGTCTTACACTAGATTGTTTTTTCTTTCGTGCAGCCCATGGCTGAAATTATCCTCCCACTTCCACAAGCGGAGATTGCTAGGGAGGCAGAATGGGTTTACGAACGGGCATTTGGCAAGTTTGCTCTTCCTGATCAGAGGCCGGAGTTACAACATGTTGTAAATACCGACAAGGTAGAGGTGATCAAGCAAATAGCAAACGTCATACAGCTTCTTCATGAAGTAGAGGTAACTACTCTTCGTTTTCACATTCTTTCGTCCCTAATGCTCTCAAGAATAGGTCCCTTTCATAGGGATGTATCGTAAGGAGATGTGCAAAGATCTTATCTATGAGGAACAAGAGTCAATAGACGCAGATGGGGACGAAGCAAGACCAACTCTTCGGCATTATAAAGTACGTTATATTCTAGCCACAACACACTCGTGAATGTTTTTTTTATTTCTTTCAGGTGCTTTGGATAGTACAGTATTGGGATAAGAAATGGTTGCTACTTCAGCGACGAAAGTCGGCCCTTAAAGATGCTTATGTAAAGCGTGCTGGTGATCAGAATGCCGAGTTTCTTAGTAGGATACTCGAGTCTCTTATGGACGCGCCGTCCGAGCAATGTGTTGACGACATCGATGCAAAGTTTAATCTCTACTGTCCACCCGATGAAGTTGAGGTCGAGGAAGGGAAGTTTCGACGGCCAAAACGTCGTTCCTTCTACAGTGTCTGCCGCAAACATG